AGTGGAAATAACAGTTCCAACCCACACTTTGAATCACGTTTCTGCTTATGGAAATTAAGTGGGTCATCGTTTGATATCGCGAAATCAGTTTGAATGTTTTATCTACGGTGTGTTCTACCATCAAAAGTCTAATTTGATGAAAATAATAACGATGAACTGGTTTCGGTTGTCGGGTTAACACGTATAATAATTTTCTTTTGAACTTTTATTAACTGTCGTCATTGTTGCTTGTTCTGGCAGCTCGGCGGTCAGATTTGATGTTTCGGTCGTTGACTTTGTCTGCGTCACTTAACATCGTTATTGTATCTAAAATATTATTCAGCGTTTTGAACGTAATTGATATAAGGCGAAATGAGGTGCTACTTCTTTCGATTAGGATTGAAATAAATTAGAAAAAAATAGTTAAAGGCAAAAAATAAATTGAAATACAACATTACTTCTTGCTTCGTACTAAATAAAAGCATGACGTTAGTCGTATTTGTAGATTGCTACTGGAAGTATTGGTCTCAATTTTATTTCTTAATTGTAATTAGCCTTAGATAAAAGTGTACCTAATTAAAAAACGAATTAACTTACTGAACCTTGCGACTATGAAAAAATAAGATTTATAGCGACAGTATTAGCGCACCATTTATTAATAGGACACACTTGTGCTCTCCCTTATCTCAACAGTATAATTGTCAACGTGTGAATATTAAGTACATAATAATTATAATAACACTTATAGACCCCATTCAATCGAGATTACTTATTATAAGTAATTGTAAAGTGCCTCGTGAATACAAGTAATTTTTGAATTGCAACAATCGTAGCATTTATGAAGTCACGAGATCGTCCACGTGCCTTTTCCCTCATCCCGCCGGCACACGTTTGCTACGTATTCCAACAATCGTCGACAATCGCATGACGCAACGATCTCCATCGGTTTTTGTTCAGTTCAACCTACACGCTGATGTCACCGTTTACAATCATCAGTATTGCTTTTGTACATTATTCTATGGATATAATGCTGTGTGGTTTCAGAACATAATAAACATTCTTGTCTATTTCCACGTAAGAGATATTCAGTTCCTGTTATCTTAATGGTAAACTCTTTGTTTCATCAACACTTCTGATCTGCATTGACTCCGGTTGAAAATATTCGTCTGTAATAAGCCTTTTTTTTGATGTATCACTTTCGGAACCGTTTCATTAATGTACCGCTTATCTTTAAAAGTGAATTCCATTAATTAGGGGAATTTGACCCGCTGCTGATAACTATCTATTCTTTGATAAGTACCATAAATTAAAAATTCCCTTTCTATAGTTGGCATTAACAATTCGTCGAGAAGTAATAGCTTCATAGTGTGTTAATTTAACATTTTTGGTGTCAAACACGTCAAGAATAAGTTCTTATCGATATTTATTCGCACTGTATAAATCATTGGAACATTCGTCCGCGTAATGATACCGGACTATCAAAATACGAAAGTCTCTGCTGTAAGGTCACTTCCTCGGCCGTCCTTGCCTTATATGGTTGTATCTGGCGACGCAAATGTGACTACTATGTAGCTTTTCTGTTTTGACGTATACTGCGTCTCCTTCGCACCATCATACCACTGCACTAGTAAGGTGGCTCAAAGTACGGAATGCATTATAGGTACTTGCACTTGTCGCTTTACATATTTATACGGCGTTCCATCCGGATACTTGCGAAATCGATGCATTTAATGTGTTTCCTGTATTGACGTGTCTTTAAAACAATTTAAATGATGACAGTCGTCTCGAGGATCTTTTTTTTTGACAATGCGTATTAAGCAAAACCTCTCAACAATTAACTCGTTTAATGAATAATTGGACATCTGGTCAATTTACTATTTATGTAATAGGAATTACAACGTTGTACAATTATCACGTTGTGAAGTGACCGCCATTGCTGCCTGGCCATGTGACTTATATAAATAAACTCAATTATAGAATTCCATTTAGCCGATCGACACACTGCCATTAATACTACGCTAGTCTATGAGCCTATGTTGTAAGAGATGTAACTGAATGATTACTCATTATGGTTCTTGTGATGTTTCATTAAAGTTTTTTTCTTAATTCACGGTTTTTGGTTGATGGAATCAATTAATCTAACCGCTCGTTTGTTTCTTTCAACAGCGTGGTTTCCCGTTTGACGAGGAAGAAGGGTCGGGCGCGTGGAGCGAGCTTGCGTCGCGGCATCCCGATATAGCGGCGCGTCTGCGGCAGCGTCCCGCCACCTGGGCCAGAAAGAGGCGCCCTTCGAGCCAGGACGCTACAGACGGTATGTATCTCTTTCATCGTAATTTAATAATATGATTCCAAAGGTCAAGGTCACATTTCAGTTGCTTACAGAACCTACAGAAGTTTAAGCACTTAAATATCTGTAGAACTGTACCACAACATCTTCTGAAATAAGACCTTTTTCTTTGCAGGTGTTTATAAAAAACGTTTCGTAATTGCAGATTTCGGCGACAGTTTTGGTGGCTTCGACAGATTTCCTTTCGACGACATCCCTCCAGAATTCAGAGAACATTTTCCCTCACATTGGAATCGCAGATTTGGTCCTCGTGACGAGCACCCGCCGCCGCAACAGACACAGCAACACGCGCCACAATCCCCGCCGGCGCAGCAACAGACTGCAGCCACACAGACTGAACAGGAACCCCAACCAGGACCGTCAGAACCTGAATCACAGACGCACCTCCCACAGTACGGATTAAGGAACACAGTTGACCTCGGTCAGAAAAGCCCCGCCGACCCTAGCTTGGTCGATGCGGACGACAGAAACCAGAGGTCTATGTCAGCGCCTCCAGACAGTTGCGCACCTCCTAACCAAAGCTTCAAAATGAGTGGACAGAACCACCAGGAACAACACGCACCACAGCACGGAGAGCAACACTCCAATGTGCGACACATACCCATCTTTGTGGAGGGCAGGGACGAGCCCGTGATCAACAAATCGGTCGATCACGGCACACACTTCGGAGATAGCAAGCCTGCATACGTGCCGCCACCACAGCAGCCACATATTGACAGAGAACAGTATTTCGCTGATGATGGTTCAGTTCCCTACCACCATCCACCTAATTTCACGAGGGCTTTTGGAACGCCTTTCAACAAAGGATTTAGGCAGGGACCGCAACCTTTCACACAGCAAAAAGTGTACCCGCAAGCCGCTTTTGCCCGCGGTGCTTCACCTCAGCGTTCTCAATCACCAAAACCTCAAGGACACTCACACCCGCATGAAGAACATTTTGTAAAAGTGCCAGTGCACCATGAACAGACTGTTCCTAAGACTGAACCTCCGTCCAGGACTCAACCGCGGCAGGCCCCGCCCCAGCAACAAGCGCCCCCGCAGCAGAAGCAGCCGCCGCCGCCGCAGCAACCTGCGCCCCAGCGCGAGCAGACTCCGCCTCAACCCAAACCACAACCCACAGCCAATGACCCCATCACACAAATTCTCCGCATACAAACGGATGTACTAAATCTTATGACTGAAGTTGAAAACTTCGGTGGTACCAAAAATGATAAAAAATATTTGTTCCTAGATGAAATGCTTACTAGGAATCTCATTAAATTAGATACTATTGAAACTGAAGGCAAAGAAAATATTCGGCAGGCTAGAAAGGAGGCCATTAAATGTATCCAAAAATGTATAGCTGTATTAGAAGCCAAAGCAGAAAGTAACGCGGGCGTTAAGAATGAACCTCAACCTTCAGATGTAGAAATGAAGGAAGAGAACACAGAAGCACAACAGGCAGCTGAAAAGGTGACGGAAAACGGCGAGGTTGAAATGAAGGAAGCGACCAAAGACGAGAGCCAACCACAGGAGCAAACAGAGCAACCTGCACAAGTAGCCCCAGCGGCACAGGACGCTCAGGGTGAAAAACCGCAGGAGGTGACTACAGAGGCAAAGGTCCAAGACGAGCAACCTCAAGTTGTGCCTGCCGATAATAAAGAAGCTACCGAGACAATAGCTGCCGACACACGACCTGACGACACGCTTACCGAAAAAACAGACGAAACAAAAACTGAAGAACCAGAAGGTCCAAAAAAGGAGGGCAAAGTTGTAAAGAAACGGAATAAGAGTAAAGAAAATAAGAAAGATAGTACTAAGCAAGAGGATAGTAATAAGGAAGATAAAGTAGAGGAAAAGAAAGAAAGCTTAGATATAATGCAAGTTGATGATAAAGGTGATAAGTCGGAACCGCAGGTGATGGAAGTAGATGGTGCTGCTAGTCAATAAAGTTAGTTCGCAATAGTGAATTGTCTCATTAGATACACAGTCGTAATCCGCGCGCACGAGGCCTTTGTTAGCCTTCCTTAATATTCGTGTTAATTATTGTGCATAAATAACACAGGTGTTGACATTGTATTGTTTATGTTTGTACATTTTACGTTTTTAATATTAAACAAATGTGTAAAGATATTTGTCCTCTAGGATTTGACGGTCTCCTGTCCTAATATTTAATATTTATTGTTTATCATCACTTGATAACACAATTTTCTGAATAAATAATGAATCCGTTTATAAGTGTTTTATTATTGATTATATTACATACTAGCTTTTGCCTGCGACTTCGTCCGCGTGGAATAGTGACTTCCGGCAGAAAAGTATAGATAGCTGTGTCCGCGACTCCGTCAGCGTGTAACTCTTGTGTATTAAGTTAATAAATGGAGTAACTTCTCCCGTTTTCCCAATATTTTCCTTCACTGCTCTGCTCCTATTGATTGTAGCATAATGAAAAGTATACTATAACCTGCCCAAGAGTATGAAGAATAATTGTGCCAAATTTCGTTAAAATCCGTCGAGTAGTTTTTGTTTCCATAACGAACATACAGACAGACAGACAGACAGACAAAAATTTTTCTGATTGCATTTTTGGCATTAGTAGCGATCCCTAACCTCCCCTTGATAGTTATTTTTTAAATATATTTTATGTACAGAATTGACCTCTCTACAGATTTATTATATTACATATATTGGGTAATACAAAATATACATAACTAATTATATTACATAATAATATATTACTTTGATAATATTTAAACTCCATGATGGCCTACCGATATTAATCACAGCATATTAATTAAAACATCACTTAAATAAATCAGTCCGCAAACTAAATATTATACCTACACATACACGCTGTACAACTACATACATTTACACAAAGAATACAGAAAAGCTAGCTTTTCATCAACAGAGGTCTTAGTACGAGTTTTATTTACGTTTAAAGTAATCGTAACGAGTACCCGTTCGGCGCTGTGATTGGGCGGCGCCAAAGAACCAACCAATCAGAAAGCGCCGAACGCGTACTCGGTACGATTACTTAAAACGTAAAACCAACTCGTACAAAGGCCTCAGGTTACATTGCACTTGGAAAAGTAAAACTAACATACAACATTATATCTGAAAAGAACAAGAAATAAAATATTTATATTACCAACTAATATGTTTACAGCTACATTCTACAAGTAGAACAAATCTATTTTATCTTCGAATATACAAAATAGACTATGACAATTTATCAGTGAATAGCTTATTATATTAGCCACTTACTTTCTATCAAATATTTTTTTAGATTCTCAACTTTATCGTTTTGCTATAAAAACGGAAATCCAATGAAAACAACTTAGACCGTAGTAGATAGACCTGTTGGTCACTGTACAGTACCTATGATATTATCATTTTCAATAGAAATAAAAGATTATAACAATTCTCACTCCCATTCCTTCATCACCTTCTCCCAGTCTTCATCATTGATGAAGGGTTTATCGATGCAGTTGATCATGTACTCGCCGCAGAATATGCATTCACTGGCAATCAGGTCATCGATCTCATTTCTAAGGATCTCTCGGAGTGGGAGGCCACTGGATGTGACCGTGGAGAGCTCAATGTTGGATAGAACTGACAACTGCCGTTGAAGGTCTGATAGCTTGTTGCGGCGGGCTGGTGCTGTGGAAATTAGGTGTGGTTATGATTATGACCTCTGCTAAAGATCAAGACTTGAGCAAAAGTTATCCGATAGTTCGTACCGAGAATTTGTTTATTCTTAACAAAGTTCATGAATCCCGAACTTTTTATTTAATAAGTACATACATATTATTATTATGTGTATTCAAATTTGAGCTATCATAAAGCAATAATATTATTGTACTGGAAACTTCATAATATAAATATGAAGAGATTTCTCCGAATCGATTTCGATGACTATTTCACATGATTCACGCCTACTGCGTAGGAGACTGTACATTTACAAACACTAAATAATTTTGACCGATTAGTCTATAGCAAAGTATTGTTTTTTTTTTCAAACATTCTTACGCTAAGTATAGAATTGTGTCCAATGTATGAGATTCGTACTCTGCTAATTCTACCCAGAATTAAAAGTCTTAATAATATTAAAAACTACTTACTCAATATAGGCAACGTCTCCTGCATGAGACAGTCGCTGTGGAACTTGTGTCCGCAGGGGAACAGGTAGAAGGGACGCAGTAGGAGCGCGATGTCGCACAGACAACACACGTCTGATACTAGTACTGTCACGCTGCGGTTACGGAATGACTGGATCTCTGCCCGTACCTGAAGGAAAAAATATAATTATGTAAGTATAATGGTAGTTTCTAGTTATTTTGAAGACTATGAATGCACGGTTGGCGCGGTGGTTGGGCAACTGGCTGCCGTGCAACGTGCAGCGGGTTCGCTTCCCGCACGGAACAACTCTTTGTTTGATCCACAGTTTGTGGTTCTGGGTCTGGGTGTCATGTGTTTGTGAACTTGTACGACACAGGAGAACGTGTCGTGGGTGCGTTTACAAACGTACAAAGCCTAGTGTCGGGCAACGCTTTTTTAAATAAAAAAAAATTTTTGGATTATTGTTGTAGACTTTAAATAATCTCAAGATTTTTCAAAGGGGGAAAATTCATCGAATGGCTTCTCTCTTCTGGGTGGGAGTGTCACACTCTTGGACGAGGTTAAAATTGTATGAAACTAATTCTACTCACGTATTCAGCAGCCGCAATCGCTTCTTCCATTTCGGCCTTCATTTCTTCTATTTGATTGTTGTTTTCCTGTAAGAATACGATAACAAATTAGAAATCATAGTCTGATTTTCCTCCTGACACTAAACAACGTAGCTTGTTAAAATTTAATAGATACCTAACATTGTATTTCCTCCGTCATGTGATTCAAAATATTTTGTTCTGTTGTGTGATTGTGAAATCACGATCACGTTCCTCAGTAATGATGGAAGGACAAAGGAGAATGATTCGATTGATCATATTTTATCAGATATGTGATGTTACGGTTGCTCGCGTGAATTAAGATACCGTTTAATTTTTTATGGGACAAACCGGTAAACGAGAAGACGGATCACCTGATGGTAAGCAATCGGCGTCGCTCTTGGGCACATGGAACACCAGAGGCGTTACAAGTGCGTTACCAGCCTTTTGGGGATTTTTTAAGGGGGGAATTCATCGAATGACTGCTCCCACCTGGGTGAGGTGGGAGGGAGTCTCAGCGTTTTACTGATTAAAAACCACCCCGTTCCTACTCCTGCAGCCTGCACTTCGAGCCGGAGCCCCGGTAACCCGTTAAGTTCTGCGCGACTCCGTATCGCCATCGGCTCTATTGGGTCCCATCTGTGGCCTTTTGTGGATTAAGAAATTAAGGATTGTTGAGGATTCAGGGATTGGGCAGATTAGGGAAGAGGGGGTAATTGGGCCTCTGGTAACCTCATTCACACGACGAAACACAACGCAAGCGTTGTTTGACGTCGGTTTTCTGGGAGGCCGTGGTATCACTCCGGTCGAGCCGGGCCATGCGTGCATGGCTCTCCCAGACTTTCATTATAAAACAGATCTCTAGACCAATTTACATCCAAATCGGTTCAGTAATTTAGTGTTAAATAAAGTAACAAACGAATCGCTTGGTTTCGCGTTTATACCACTACTCATTAAATGAGCAATATCTACTAACAATTAAATATTAGTAAATGAATGTGTGTTACCTGCAAAGAATCACAGATAGGTTGTCTAAAGTGGTCTATGGTGATGACATCGCTGAAGAACGGCAGTATGTCTTCGATCTTAATAAGCGGACATTCCTCGAGAAAAGTCATCGCTTCTTGCATGTCCTGGTTCTTCGTGATCACGTTTTCAGCTGAAAATAGACGACTTATAATGTCATTCATGAAATAATAATATATAATGGTACTTAATAAGAAAAATTCATGTCTGTACATAGACACTTTAAGTAAGCAATAATTTAGGTCAAATATGTCTCGGGTTAGATTTTCAAATTGATCAAAGTGTTATCGAGTCTTTCGATTTCAAAATGCACACCTATTAAAATGGGTGTAGAATATTTGGAAAAGTTAGATTTCCTTTACACTTATGAAAGTACAGATTGTTACATAATATAACATCACGCCTTTTATACCCGAAGGGGTAGGCAAAGGTGCACACAGAGGTAACACCCACTTTTCACTATTTATGTTATGAGTCCCATGTAATAGGGGCATGTGAGCCTATTGCCTATACATTTCCAGACTCCGTGCTAATATTGATATTTTTTTTAACCCATTAACTCGTCGAGTACCGGTTTTGTAGACACAATTATAGAACAATAGGTTGCGGTCACCGGTGACCGCTTGGTGTTTGACAGTTTAATACTTTGCCCGACCCGGGTGTCGAACCCGGCAGTTGCACTTGCGACCACTCAGATTGTTACAATACTTAATAATCAACTATTAACACTAACAACCAAAATTCAGTTGAAAAGAACAACTCACCGATATTCAGCCACAGTTGTCGCCTAAGTTCCGTCTGCTCTGGCATGTCAGCTATACTCTTGGCGAGAGTCAGGCTCACTTGCAGTGCTAGTTCTACTGCTGAATCCCACAGACCGAGCAACGCTGACAGTTTCACGCACGCTTCTGATAAATTCTTTTCGCGACATAATCTGGAAAGATTTGATTAAGAATCAATTTGAAGGCAATGACCTCAAAAAAATTTATGAATTTCTATATGAATTTAAACAGTGAAACGATTCAAAGGGAGTTTTATTAAAAAATTGTGTTGCCATATTTTGCAGTACTGAGGCCGGTGAAGCCGTTATAAAGAAGGTAAACATCCTTTTAATACACAGATCAGATATCAATATCAGCTTATAGAAAATCATGAAAATAACAGATAAGCAACTCACCTCAAAGCATAATGCACATCATAATTGACCATAGTAACGTCCTGTCCTTGCCGGGACAAGTACATCATGAGCGCTTCATGATCGTGTTCCACGTATAACGTCAGCAAATAGTTATGTATCGCCTTGTCTCTCACGTTAAAGTGCTGCAATATAAACTCCAAGTACCGTATGATCTCTGACACATGAGCCTCATCATTCTTACAAGACAAAAATGCTGGTAGCAATTTCGAAGGGCTCAATCTAGCTCCCTGAGATATCAAAGCATTCACGGTATGTTTAGGACTCTCCTCCATAAGCGTGGCAGCGAATTGATAGAACAACTCTGGCCTTTTCAAAGTCTTCAACGTATCTATTGCTTCTAAATAAGACTTTTTGCTAATATACTGTGCGACTACACTCTCATAGTCCTCATTTATAATTGTCAACTTGATCAAATTTAGTTTATCACCATGAGAAGCCATCAAGTCGTACACAACAGATTTGACATGCTGCATACATTTTGCAACTTTAGGATGAAGTAAAAATACTTCGAAATTACTTTGTATTTGATGGTATTCCTCTGTGTCTTGCTTGCCTGTGCGTCGGAGGAGACCTAACTGCGACAAATATAACTCAGTCATCCATATAACCAGCATGGATATCAAAGTCTTCTCATCTTCTTTCAAAGTCTCCAATCGCTTCTCGAGGTACACTTTCAAAGCATTAATTTGGTCTATTTCAAGGAACTTGAGGCATATTGTTTCGAAACTCTTTTGTGTGTCTGCAAATATGGCCGCACTCTTTTCATATTCTCCTTTATTGAAGAGTAGTTCAGCTTGTTTGACATTGATTACGTCGATGTAAGCTGGGTTGTTGTAGCAGTATTCTTTGGCTAAATCAAATTGTTCTTTATCAGAGTAAATGATCCACAGATTTCGTTCTTCTCTAACTACTTTGTATCGGAACACACATTTGTCTGTAATGGCCCAAATTGTTCTCTTTTTGGCGTCTCTCACTATATTCTTTAGCTTCCCTTGAGCTTCAGAGTATCTGTCTTCGAAGACCAGTTCCTGGCTGATGAGAGAGATAACCTTGACTCTGTCAGAGTACATGAGGAGTACATGGAACTCTGTAAGGACGAAGGATAGAGGAGCGTTCTCTGGCTCGTCTCCATCTGTTGGGTAACTGATCAGAGCTCCCTGTGTGAACAGCGAGTTTGAATTCTGTTGAGAAGTTGGGTCCAGCTGTAAATACATTAAAAATAATTATCAGTTTCATTGACATTGGTCCAGGTTTCCACCTAAATATACCAACTACACTGAAATGCTGATTTAGTAAACCCACTGAAGATTTTGACTATGTAAAACCGAAATCAGTAATAGAACCCAAAAAACATATGTTCTATCGCTTTACCCATATCAAACAATTTCATGATACTCAGATAAATCAAGAATTCATAGTTTAAATTAATTGGACAGAAGTCTGTTAGTGACATTTGCTGCGATAATGTATGTATATGAGGAAAATGTATGGAATAAATAAATAATTACGTAATTATAACTATACGTCAATGTGGGTGGTGTCTATTTTTGAAACAGTTTCAATTTGTTTCACATTACGATTAAGCCTACATTTATTCAGAATAAAAATCTTTCAATTTGGAATTTTTAGAGACTAAATTATAGACATAATTAGTATGGCTCAAAACCTGGTATTATTTCAACTTCAGAAGCATTAATAAATAGTTTTCCTGCCCAGATGCTAAACCTCAGATCTTATATTTTTTAGCAGCATTTTTCATATTCAGGAATATGCTGGGCATTCTAAACTAAATTCTATACTAACCTGTCCATAGAAAATACCCGGCTCAGTCAACCATGCAAAAGTCTTAGGGACATCATTTTTATCGAAGAACTGCAGCTTCGAATATTTCAGTGTAGATGGTATCTCTTGGAACCCAGTCTCAGGGATAGTTAAGTATGAATAGAAAAGAGACTGCAAACTTGGCTTGTTATCCTTCATGACAGCTTGGCCCATAAACTGATACAACCTCGTTGGTGTAGTAATAAAAATAAAATATCTACTCGTATTATTTACTCTGTGGAACTGTATGCCAGTTATCGGCATGTCCGTGCCTTTACCGATGTCGAAAATCTGTAATTAGAAAAGGTTTTTGTTTATTATAATGTAGATGCATTACATATTGTCAAATTGCAAGCTTAGTAGGCAGAAAATATTATGAAAAATGTTACATTTCCTTTTCAAAGGCAAATCCAGTAAGTCATGAGATTTTTCTTACAACAGCTAAGTATTTGAAATAGTACAAATAAATTGAAATGTTAAGCTTTCTTTCATTTCGTTATTATTATATATACTATAATATTGTTATGGTTGGTAATCAGGTTGTGCATTATTAAGATCTATTTGCTGTCCATTACTTATTTTTGCAAGCACAAAACACACAATACAAGTAATTTAAAATATTAAATAGGCATCCACACTTGTCACACTGCACATTAAAAATATAAATAAAAGATATTAAATGAAAGCAAAAATGTTAGTTTACCAAACCATCAATATCCTTGCTCCCATACAGAGGGAGATAGCTAGGCAGCTTGTGTAAAAAATTAATAAGAAAATTAAAAAACATAATCAGACATAGACAGAAGACATTATGAATAGAAGACTGTACTGACTTACAGATTTACAATACAGAGAATAAAATTAATTGTGATTTTTAAAAAGATAACTAAAAAAATGGCACATATATTAAACTGTACAAGAATATTCAATAATAGTATCCATTCTATTAGTGTAGATTCATTAAAAGAAAAAAATATATGGTGTATTAAAATTTTGTTTAAAACAACAATTTGAGTATATACACAGATGTAAAATATTTTTATATACCTAAATAAGAGAGAAGAGTAATCATTTAATGAAAAATGGTTGGAATAATGAAAACAAAGATTGAAGAAGAATAAATAAGAAAAAAATATCTATTTACCTCTCTCCAATAAGGATGACTGGCTGTAAAAGTCTTATCGCTGTCAGCTTCCAACTCCGTCTCAATAATATGGCCCTGAGACGTACCAAGGAGGATCGGACCGGTATTAACCTCTGATGTGTTCTCCCAGTTCCAACCTACTTCGGTAACCTCATAGTTTCTAGATTTACTGACTAATTTATATTTCGAACTGCTCTGGTGTAAGTATATGAGCTCTGGGTAGCCATCTTTCTTCTTTGAAGTAAATGCCATGAGAAGGTGATGTCCAAGAGGATCTAGGAAGATTCCTGTTAGCTTCGAGTTTGGTTGGACAAACTTTGAATATTGGATTTCTGGAATTGATTAATATTTGTGTTAGCTGATGTAAATTATGATTGACTATATTTATTCTACTTTGTATGATAACATTGTGAAAACAGACAAGAGTAAACCAGGTTTATGAGTATAATTTTAAAACATAAATTGGTTGCCTTAGAAGTGTCTTCTGAACAACTATACCACACACACGCTCTTTACCAACAGGAAAAACAGAATAAGATGATAATAGAAGAGAATAATAGTGGCATACCTTCTCCACGATCTGGCTTCTTCAGATTTAGACGAAACAGGTTCCCATTAGCCATAGCAAGAACTAGATAATCGTTGCACACTGCTGCATGAGTGATCGCATCAGACAGGTTCTTCAACATCATTTTACTCTTGGAAAACATTGGAGTATTGTCTTCCATCAACATGTTTATGTACCCAGAAGATACCATAGGCTCTGTTACAGGTTTAGTTCGCTGGGAACTCTGCGAAGCCTGCTCGTACTGATCGAAAATCGAAGTCATTTTGATTGGAAAATGGGTGTTGCTGCAAACTATTGGAACTTTAACACTCGCACTTGTTTATTATACACTACATCTGTTACAATCGCTACGACTGCTAGACTATGTTATATTTAATGTTACTGCCGTTTTATTCGTTTATTATAACAATAGCATCGAATTATTTAACACAAAATTCGACGATTTTGTCAACAAAATAATCGAAATGCGAATGACATTTGACTTGGTTTGACACTTGTCAACTCAATAATAAAAAAAGATAACAACGGATCCCTGCTTCCAAAAACTGCTTTTGAAATGTTGAACTTTAAATCCAAATTCTGATATGTTGTATAATAAAGAAAACAAAAATATGTTGTACTCGCATTTGTAACTTAATAAAGATATTGTTTGTAAATAATTAATATCAACAGTGTTATTTGCGATTTTTTGAACGAAACGCTGCTTTCTGAGTAAAACGGAACGACGACTGTAGAAACGTCATTTTCTTTTCAAACTTGTCAAAGTAAATTTTGAAGCGGTTTCTTTGGAGTTACTGAAAAATAGCTCTTATCGTTATAAAGTTATGGTTTAGAATCAAACGACATTAAAGTTATTTTAGCTACAAATTATACGTAAATAAAAAACCTGAATTCGTTGCAATCTTACAACTTTAATCAGTGTTTGGATAAGTATTTAACTGCATCATTATAATGAGATTCATTACAGTACTGTGTGTTACTCGGCTTGTTCGTTGACTTGAAACCCGTGACATAATTTCGGGAACAGGTTTTTGGAAGTTGGTGGTATAAAGTATGTTTGTGTGACCTTGCTCTTTATCATTATCATTCGTATCGTAATTCGAGCGTCAACTGTGAGTATTGAGTTAGTACGTTTGGGCAGTTTCAGCGATATAACATCAGTATTCAGTTCTTATCAGCATTTAATAAAATGGCTACGAGATCGCTCCTAAAAACTACAAAATTAGGCGGTAAGTACTTTCTCAATTAAACAACACTATGTATATCTATTCTTTTAAACGACTTTATGTGTAGTTAGTTAATTGAATACCGAATGTTAATTTATTTAACTTAGCACATTTGTGACCACAGATTATGCAGTGATTACCTACATTTATACAAAAAGTTGTGTGTGGCTGTGATTGTGTATTTAATTTCCCTAAACGTTTTAGTTTATTCAAGACAATGTCTGAAGACACTGGGTCAGCAGCGTACCTTCACAACGAAGCTTACAGAACAGCAACAATCCATTCAGGAACTGGTCAGAAACTTTGCTCAACAGCATTTAAAGCCTAATGCAGCTAAACATGACAAAGAAGCTCTGTTTCCATTTGAACCTGTAAGTATTACCATCATATTATTAATTTGAATTTGAATATTTACTCATTAGGAAGGAGGTTTTATCATCATTATCATCATCTGTTCTCTGTGACGATCTACTGGTGTACCGTAACTACATTCTCAACTGTTATACCATAATTTCTACATTTGGCAGACAAGTAAAAAAATTATGTATTACATATATTAACTCGTTGAGTACCGTCATTATAGACATAATTAAAGAACAATAGGTTGCGGTCACCGGTGACCACTCGTGGTTGACTGTTTAATGGTAAAAGATCCTAGTAAAAAAGACTTCTGTCAACTCTACCATCATCTGCATAAGATTTCTTTTTATTTACTTTTTAAGACTTATGTTAGAGAATCAATGCTCATCACATGTTAAAATTGTATTTTAGAATTTTAACCTCAGCCTCATAAAAATGTTTATGTAAATGGATTAAGATTATTCCTAAAAGGTTGATTGATAAAATATTTCGATTCTGACATAACATAATCCATATCATATCTGTGACATATTGTCTTTGATTGTGTGTTAAGATCTGTATAAAAAAAAATGATAAGACTTATCACTTGAGGGGGTCATGTCTTATATAGGTACTCTGTAGCTCTACCAAACTGTCTTTGTTCAATTAATTTTCTACTTTATTTCAAAACTAATAAAGTTTAAAATATGTATATGAAAAGTTTTGCAAACTTTGACACCTTCAATGCATCTGTATTTTGTTTTGCTAAAGAAGTCTGATTAATAGAGCTCATATAAAAAAATACAATTCTTAAGAACACCTAAAAATTTGAAATGAGATAAGAGCTTGATAGCATCACCCATTTATTTTTATGTAATGTGTTGTCCCATTACATTTTAAAAAAAAAGTACCAAATGTCACTGTCATTCCATGAAAATAAAGAAATATTTTCAATATTTTAACTACTATGGGTAATTTCTAATACTTCGATTATTTAGTTAAAAAATATATTCTTGGTCCTTTCATACGACACGACCTCGGAGCCGCGAACTAAAGGACCAGTTTCTTTACATTAAACAAAAAACTTATTTATTGAAATACTTTCACTTTGTTCATATCTTGCGCGTGCAATAAGGTCAATTATAATAATAATATGAAATTATGACGTTTGACAGAAAATGAAAAACAAAAATAAAGATATAATCAATAACATGTTTGTTTATTTTCCATTTTCTCTATTACGTAACTGTCGCTGCCTATCCCTGTTAGCACATAGCGCGATTCGCGTACATAACGTAAAGCGATAAGGTACAGAGTTGATAGATTATCTTCATTTATTTATTTAAACTTACTTATTAAAATTTTTTATATATCTTTTATTTCAAATAACTGTTAAATATGATAAAAGTTATACATGTCGATAAGACATACATGCTCTATGGTCGAATAATCGTGTGCATGATTGCGATGTCGGATTCGATTCCCAGATAAAGCTTATTTAAAGGGTTTTTATTGGCATAGAATCCAAAATTCCGCATACTATGTTTAAGCTAAACATTATCAGGAGTTGTAAATGCACTCGCATGCAACTGATAACAATATCATTAAAGAAAGTACTGTCCATCTATTCTTATATCACACGTTAACTGTTTATTGTATTTATGTATTAATATCTCACTGCAGTAGTTAGTTAAAAACCTTATTTATAGATTCTTATCTTTTTTCATAACACGACTAGAAGCTTAGAGAAATGTAAAAAGTAGTAAAAACTGCTTTTAACCAGTTGTCCTATCAGATTTATCAATGACATTTGTGATAGGTGTAATCACCTTTGCGCCCTAGCTGGAAAATGATTTGTTATAACATCAGAAATAAAATAACTACATATTTATCTCAATATATTACTTATGTAATATCCGATCGAATCAAAATCCTGATTGTAATATCGTTTTTGCAACCGTGGATATCTAAAAGAGAGTCGTACTTAACTTAAACTCTATCTGTTTCGTCTAGCCTGGTCCCTTTAGTCGGGCAGAGTACCTTAAAGTCTCAAATTGCGTCTAGTGTTTGGAAATAGGTTTGCCCTTCATTACAATGAAAGTTAAAGATTAACAAAAACTGGCAAAACTTAGGCTCCATCTGCCCTTTAGGATAAAAACCCTAGTGCTATAATATAGCTAACATTTTGATTGATAAAACCTTTAATTCGATATTATCGATATCGGAGTAAAGGAATTGAATATGTATGTATTTACATACTCTTATCGTTTCATATGACTGCACGTTTATGACGTCAGCATGTTAAAAAAATGCACCGATTTACTATCAAGTTTGAATGTGTTTTATTAATAACATAGAAATCCCTTCTAGAAGGTCATACGAAATAATAAGTCTGTACATTTTATTTGAAAGTAGTAACGACAATTATTACCCGTTATTTATTACATGTTCCATAGCTATTTGGAGCGAGCCATTGGGCCCAATTTTAGACTTGACAATTGCACCATCTCTTGCTCGGCGTTTGCGGTTGCAGTTGCTTTACCAGCTAGCCTTTCGTTAGACAAACTCATCTACCTAACTAGGTACAGATATGTAAAGAAAGTAATAAAACCTATATTATTCCTATTCCAGATCAGACAAATAAAAGAAATGGGACTCATGGGTGCGTGCGCCAGTGAAGACTACGGTGGTATGGGCATGGACTATTTATCTCTGGCATTAGCAGTGGAAGAGCTGTCTCGCGGCTGCGCCAGTACCGGCCTGATCGTCTCCATACACAACTTCCTCTATCTAAACCTGGTCAATGAGAAGGGAACACCAGAACAGAAGGAGTTGTTCCTAAAGGACTTCACTCGAAACTGTATTGGTTGCTTCGCGTTGAGTGAGCCAGGTAGGGTATAATACCTTTTTTAGATCTAAATTCTTACGAGGATTTTATTTTAAATAATAATAATTTAACGAGATAATGGTCAAACATCGGCCCATCAAATAAATATAAAAAATGGTCTCCTAAAATAATAATATTATTCATCTACACCAATATATATCGATATACAAAAAAACTTCTGCTAATAACTTAAATTAAGACAAAAATATGTGATAAAATGAGATTTCTATCAAAAGGACCACGTGTTTACCTACAAACTGGTCTTTTCAGGCGCGGGTACAGATGTAGCAGGGATAAGGACGAGAGCCAAGAAGGATGGTGACTCCTGGATCCTGAACGGCACGAAGCACTGGGTCACGAATGCTCTGGAAGGCAAAGCCCTCGTTACTTTCGCTACAATCGACCCAGAACTCAGGCACAAAGGACTTGCTTGTGAGTCATTAAACTGTCAAACACCAAGCGGTCACCGGTGACCGCAACCTATTGTTCTATAATTGTGTCTATAATGACGGTACTTGACGAGTTAATATGCTTACATATTCCGTATATTACAAAATACACATACATTAAAAAAACCAATAATTCTAACCCAGTAATTACCTCCTTTATTGATTTGACTTTCAAACACAACATACCTCTGGTGTAAAACCTTACCGTTTTCAGTACCCTGATTGGTCTGCTTCAATGAACCGACCAATCACAGCGCTGAACGGGGTAACGTTTCGATCTCTTTACCAGGATACTTTTTACCATTATATTGTAATAAGGTCCCCTACGCACTGGACAGTCACACTTTTGTTCGTAATTTGAAAAATATTCTCCTCATCAGGTTTCCTGGTTCCCGTAGACACTGAAGGTATTTTTAGAGGTAAAAAGGAACGCATAATGAGTGTCAGGTATGTATTACCTAAATATTCTATGTACAAGCACACACATTAACACTGCATGCAGCACAGTTTGTGTCGGGCCTTAACTATGTCTTGTAATACCAATGTATAGAATTATGGATAAATATGTATGCAATACTCACATTGTCGGTTTGGGGTCCATTCATATGTATTGGATAGCTTTTGGTCTCGTATGTCGTTATTATTAACATTTTATTTGCACTTAAACTAACCACACAGCACAGTGACAATAGTAATGAAATTAATAGTAGTTTAAACTGTCAAACACCAAGCGGTCACCGGTGACCGCAACCTATTGTTCTATAATTGTGTCTACAAAACCGGTACTCGACGAGTTAATTAATTCTAAAATGAATTTATAATTCTTTACGAATGAATGAAACTAAACAAATAAAAGCATGTCTAACCAAAAGCGAAAATACAGTACAGTTAATACTAGATGTGCAATGTGCATTTTGCTAAAATAGTAATTTTTATTGGTGGCATGAATAAGGGTCTGATGCAGAATGGTCCTAAGTGGCGCATTTGTATAACTGGGTGCTTGAATGTTGTTTAATAGATGATGTATATTTCATAAAAGAAAGACTTAAAAGAAACACTTTTACGGACTTACAAGTCCTTATTCGTGGAAACGGCTAAGCTGATTTTAATTAATCACACATGATATATATCAAGGACTAAAGAAGTACTTAAAACAGATCCAAATCAGAATTTAAAGAGGCAGAGGGAGACAATTTTAACAATCTTGGAACTTAAAACCACGTCTAACGGTCTACCTACTTGCTAAGTCGCTAATGTTTATTTTTAGGTAGGTAGGTACACTGCACCTAAAAAACTAGCATAAAATCATTCCACAAATCAAAAGGAGCTTATAAAATAGATTTGAAGCACGTCTGACAGGGCGGCGACAGCGTGCACCGTAACGTTGGAAGATGTCCGCCTTCCTGACAGCTACATGGTGGGGCAACCTGGTGAGGGATTCCGGATCGCAATGGAGCAACTCGATCAGGCCCGTATCGGTATCGCCGCTCATGCCGTTGGTAAGTATCACGTTTGTTGCTCACCAGTAATCTATAATAACCTGGTGTAATCTATCGATAGATCTGTTTGTCCAATCGCTGTATCTATCAAATTACCAAATTGAATGTCTAATGATGTGACACTAGGCAATTCCTTATAAGACGAAGAACGATAGGTTCAGACTAGCGCCAAATGGTGAGCAAAATACAGTATAAATGTAATAAAGGTGCATTTTCACTCGATAAAAACTAGCACATAGTTTAGACATCGAATCAAAATTATATCAAAGATTTTAGATTCCTCGATACATAAACAGAAAAGATTATTTTTTGAAGGAAAACATACCTTTAATATGCATTCTAATGTCAATGTATTTTAACAGGTATTGCTCAATCAGCGCTGGACACAGCTATCTCCTACGCAAAGCAGAGGGTAGCATTCGGCAAACCATTGACCAGAGTGGCTTCTGTAAAGGTATGTTATGGAAAAAATGATATTTTATCAATGAGGTATTAATTTGTTCTTTCCACTACCAATCAGCCCTCAATCTCAATTGAAACTGCAAATAAAAAACTGGTCCTTTGTGGTCCTTTGCTCCGCAGCCTCCAGTTCAGTTCAATTGATATATTATTTATCTTTCAGTGGCGCTATCTAGCACTTATAAGTACCATAACAATACAACTCAATAAATATTAGCATTATTTTAGAATAAGACATATTTTAACATACCCATAAATGGATTTTGAATGTTAATGCTTCATAATCCCTATCGTCTAGAAATTTCATAATTTTGACGTGTAAAAGTGCTGTTTTGTTGCTTTTTATTAGCATTTCTCATTTCATTATAATGTTCTGCCTCGCTGGCCGAGTGGTCGCAAGTGCGACTGCCGGGCCCCGGTCTCGGGTTCGATTCCCGGGTCGGTCAAAGAATTACTGGGTTTTTAAAAAAATCTCAGTGTGCTACTACTGAGAATTTTTTAAAATCCAGTCTGGAATTGTGCCCGGTACATGGCATTAGGCTCACCCCCTATTACATGGGACTCATAACATAAATAGTGAAAAGTGGGTGTTACATTGTACAGTGGTATAATGTGCACCTCTGCCTACACCTTCGGGGTAAGGATAAAAGCCGAGATGTTATTTTATGTTATAATGTTCATTAATACATTCATTTTCTCCTTAGGACCGTCTAACAGAGATGTGTATGTTAGTGGAGACGGCTCGCCTCGTCACGTACCGCGCGGCCGTCGACGTCAGTACCAAGAACAGTGCGATGGCCAAGTACATTGCTGGAAGGAACGCCGCCGCTGTCGCAGACCACTGCGTACAAATTCTTGGAGGACGCGGCCTGTCCGTCAATTATGACGGCGAACGGCATTATAGGTAAGTTTTTTTTTTATTTGAGATAATAAATGTAGTTTGTTTGAAAAATTTATAGTCTTAAAACAATAGGATTTGTAATTCAAACTATGTAATCCATAAGTGTATGTATAGGAAGTTTAGTTTTGGTTACATCTGAACTTTAAAAGTTATGTAGAATTTGAGGTGCACAAAAAGGTATTGCAATTTCCTCCTTAAAATCCTTTTCTTTCTCTTTATTTTTAGCAGACTTCTAAAAAGGAGTCTCAGTTCGACCTGTTTGTTTTATGGGTGTATGTGTATGTATGTATGTATGTATGTATGTATGTGTGTATGTATGTTTGTGGCCGATTATTATCTAGCGATTGGCTGAACCGATTTTTATGCGGATTACAGAAAAGTGTTTGTTACACTTCAGAGAAAGTTTTAGTATAGTATATTAATTATCCCACTCCAAAAAGACGGAGTTGAAGTCCGTTATATTAATTCTTTAATTTATAAAAAAATACTCATGTCTTTTTCTGCAACTCTCCGTTGTGCTTACAATTATTATAATAAACCTTTTTAATAATTATGACTATCCTTTCTCCAAACAGGGACGCAAGAGGTACACAGATATACGGCGGAGTGACAGACATACAGAAGAGGCTTGTCGGCCACTTCCTACTAAAGGAACACGACGCCCTCTAATCATACTCAGTAACACACTCTAGTCTAGCTAATACAGGACCTCTAGTATACAGTATCCAGCTAGTACTTCAATCTGTCTCATTTATTGAATTTTCGACTTTATGTCAAAGTAATAAAGTCGAAAATCGAATTAAGAAGAATTGACAGATATGGGTAGGTTGATCTGCTGGCCAGTTTTATGTAGCTAACAGAAACAATACTGTTTTTTTCTTAATCGTAACCTCGAATTCATTAAGGAAAATCTACATTTGAAACCATAGACTAAAATTATTTTTCTTAAATAGAACCCGTGTTTTGGATAAGGAAAAGTGTCATGCTATCTTTGTCCGTTGAAGGAGTCCTAATGTAACTAACTCAAATTGAGCGTTATATTTTTGATGATATAATAACCATCGCCTTCTGTATGATATGTTTTTCTATTGAATTCGAGGCTCTTTTACATCGTTAGTTCCGCGGCTTTTGGCGGCTAAGTCACAAATGTAATAATTACGTAGTTTCTTTTTATGGCCCGTTTGAATGATACGAACTTAGGATTTCTTTTCTCTGTCTATTTTAATAAATATTTGTGCCAATATCGATTGTATATTTTATCTTAAATATTTAAATTTTCTTGCATTATGTTCGTTTCTTGTTTATTGTTCATTACAATACTATTTTTGTATCTTGACACTCTTGTCAACTTTTTTCATTAAAATTTGAATAGATTTATTTGGAACGTATACAATTTCGGCATAATACCTATAATTAAAAGACTTAAAAGGCTAATTTATCAAAATCATATTGTTGTAATTAATTAAAAATATTTTAAAATCATAATAATTATTGTATCGTATTTTCGAGTACAACTGTAAGATGAAATAACCATGAATAGTAGAAATGTCGGAATACGAAATATTCATCACGTTGAATCATTTGGTCCAATACTATAAAGAATATAGGAATCTGGAAGATATCCAAATAATTGCAACATACATAGTGTCGAAACTATAATTAGTCGAAAATCCACTTAAACCGCCATAAAATAATTTTATTGACGACAGAAATGCGCTTCTAGCGTTAATGACTATATGGCTCTTACAGTTGTTATCTCAATCGTAATATTAAGGGCATCGCATTTATAAACGTAACCGTAGACAATATAACGTACTTAAATGGAACACATTCCATTTTTTGAATTTTCAAACGAGTATTGTTCGTTGTGGTGCTAACTTGCTAAGATTGTTTTTTTTTCGTAGCTTTTTTGTAGACGATGAAACTATTTGGTTTGTACTTATTTTTTTTAGCTTTGTTATGAACTTGGTGCGGTAAGAATTTATTGTTGTTGACTTGTTTACGTTCTTATGGCTTTATAAATAAGGTTGAATGTAGTTTTGTACTGTTTTCATTGGCCGCATATCGTTGACCTTTTCTTTGTGGTTTGAGTTGATGGAATTACCAAGGGACTGATTTAGCATAAATGCAAATAGTACAACTGTTGAATATTGTGTCTATCGCATAATAAATAAGTATATAAATTATATGTTATACTATCCTGTTGTATATAATTTATAGGGGCCAGTATATAATACGTAAACTACTTAAGTTTAAATGTTGGTTATATCAAAACACGAGTCTTCGCATAAAATAAGAAATAAAATGTTCAATATTATTATTTCGTATTGTACTGTTATTTTAATAAAAATATATTTTTGTAGATATGTTTTTATTTATTTATGATATCATATTATTATATTGCATTTTTTCTTATACCTACTGCTTACGAATATCGATCTTTTGAGTTTTAATATTGGTCCTTGTTAACACAAAGGACCAAACATTTTTAGTCCTAAGTACCTAGTTGAAACTGTAAGTAAGTACTTAAGTACCTAATAATTTTGAAAACCTTGTTGAAACAGTAACTCCATAATTGGTCCTTTTCGGTGCTCTTTACAATCAAAATGTCATAATATTATGACAGCTGTAGGATAGTCGTAAAATCCGTAAGCTCCCCGAAATTTCAATCATCATAAAAATGCATCATTTAGTCGCCGTTACCCTATTTTGTTCCAAAATACCACTGCAGTCATATTTACCTGGGTGACCTAGTTCACTAGGTTGATAAGCGACCTATTTAGTTTTTTATTGTTTAGTATTACTTATTGTTCTTTTAAGTTACGATATTTTTTTTACGCTTTTAAACAAAGTGCACGCGATGGTCAAGGGAAGTCGCTCGAACGCGTTTGTTTATTTTTAATTTATTAGTTTGGTTTGGTATCTATTATTTGATTGTGATACTCTCAATCAATTTTGACTCAATTACAATAGTCATAAAGACTAATATTTCTTAAGATCAAACACTACCTGTGCGTTGTTAATGGTGTCACATTATATCGCAATATTTCGTTCGACGCAAGTCATTGTGGTCAATGTATCTCGCATTACGTCTACCTACGACACGTCTCGGATTATTCTATCATAATACTTGCCTACGAGCTACACATAGTTACTGGTTATCAACTGGTTCACTCGTTACGTGCCTCTCTTAATAACACCTTTTATCTGTTCTTTATAATAAATTAGTTTCATATTTTTCTACGTTAGTAAAATTCTTCGAAGTCCCAAAGGCAAAAAAGTTCGGTTACTCGCTATTCTTGAAGAGAAAATCCATTATAAAGTTTCCTTGCGACGAAAAGAAAGAATTTGACGTGGTATTTAATTTGTATCATATACTTCAGAACGCAAAGGCAACCCGTCCTTTATCCCTGCTTCACTGGATATAACTAAATAGATATATATCTATCTATCTACCTATAATACGCAAGATGAGGTAGATTGAGTTACTTTGCGGAAGTGCTATGGAATGTACCGAGGCATTATTGTTTAAAGTATTAGCATGTTACAAATACCTCCCTTCAAAGGACCGATAGCTTTCATATTAAAGGACCATGAATCACAGGAGTTCGTATTAATCTCCCATTATCTTAGTGTGCGTCATTTTCAGCAATGTACACACACAGAGGCGCTGCCGATAAGACAACGATAGGGAAACTTATCATTCCACCGCGATTACGAGTCGAACGCAGATGGGCTTGTGTCATCGTTTTTAAAAAGTAAAAATGCGCGCCCTTTGTTATTTGACGTTTCTATTTTTCATATTTAAAAATGGAAGTGCTCAAGACGTTTATGAAGAATTATTGAATGAAGAAGTGTTGAAATTAATACAGTTGTGTGAAGTTTGTACGTGCAGTGAAATTCCGGATATCGATAGGACTCATATAGTGTTGTATGTTCAGTGTTCAGAGTTTGATAGGATCGGTAATGTTGCCGACCTAGACAAGATCGCTTGGCCATTGAATCCGAATGGATTGAAAATATCGGCAACGTTCGATGGACTGGGATTGTCAACATTGGGCAAGTAAGTAACCGTTACATTCGTCTATTAAATGCCTAGACCAACAAGCTTAACTAAGACCGTTAATCTTCTGCCAAATTGGTAAGTTCTAGCAGCAATGAACGTGGGCGTAATCTCTATACAACGTTAGGTCAATGTTCCAAATCTTATATCGTTAAATACACGAGTTAGGAGCTCGATCTAGTAGGTAACATAGAGCAAAATATTGATTGGTCCTTTGGTTCACCTCTGATCGCTGACGGTCCAGGTGTTACTGATACTGACAAGAACCACTTACTAAAAGTACTTATTGAATAACACTCGATAAAATCCCTTGAACTATGAAAATTTCCCTTTTCACCCATTGCCTTTCCTTCAGGTACGCCTCCAGACTTCTGGACAAACCTGACCCTGACGACGCGTTATGTTGTCCTCACCTTGACAGCTTATCACGGTGCTATAATAAAACGCGAGGCACATTATATTAAAGGGCATTGAATTTTTGTTTACATACCAAGTATCTTAATCTTTGTTTGCATGAGCTCTTTTAGGGAAAACCGTATCAACTAGCTGAGTACTTGCCGGTAGATAAAAATAAGTACATCATCGAGACAACAGTTTAATTAGCGAATATTAATTAAATTCTTAGGTTTTAGTGAGTTTTACTTTGAAGCGTTAGTGCCGAAAGTAGAACAAGTCTTCGTCGGTTAAATAAATATGCTTAAGTAATTATACAATAACTTAATTTTAGTAAACTTCGACGGCACTTGCAGATTGAATACTCAATCTATATATATAAAAGAAAGCCGTGTTAGTTACACTATTTATAACTCAAGAACGGCTGTATCGATTTGGATGAAAATTGGTGAGGATGTAGCTTAGGACCAGGAGACGAACATAGGATACTTTTTACCCAATACTTATTTTTTACTTTTAACCGAAAATCAAGAACGGGTACGGGAAATATCGGGATTGAGCGTACGAAGTCGCGGGCAGAAGCTAGTTATAAATATTATTGACTCATTGCACTTGTTGACAAGCAATTTCTTCGTAACAAACAATAAGTACTTACCTAGATTAGATTAAATAGCAAATGAGACGGAGACGCCTATAAAAGTTACAAAAATACTTTCATTAATAAAAAAAACATAAATCAATTAATATAATTTCGAATCCAATTTTACTATTTATGATAAGTAAATGATTCGAGTAAACATTATTATTGATAAATACGTTATTATAATTATTAGATAGTGTTAAATATAACCACGGTTGTGGTTTTATCAGAAGCCATTGATGTGCAATAGTCACTTATGTATTTAGAAGTGGTTTTGATATCTGTCTTGACGTGTCAGTATTTCTATGGTTGAAGTACTGACAATGCAGTGGTCCACTTTTAGTCATTATTTTCCTAAGTACCTGACCTAGGCGTATGTATACGAGAATGGTAAATGATTTTGTTAATTGTTGTCGGTTATATCTGTGTCCATATCATTTTCTTATAAATAAGAGTCAATAGGAAATGCCGAACTTGTAACATGGTAAAGAGCGGTTCCGTGGCCTATAAAATGGCAAAATATTCATCATTAATTAAATTTTATGTTGCTTACACTAATACAATTTTCCAAATTGTTAAGATTCTGCATTTTTTAACTTCGTCCTTGTAGTAATAACTTGCAATTTGATTTATACCTTATTAGTCCTTAGGTACGAATACTATATTTAATGGTTTCCATAGCAACAGTCAAATTCTTATTTCAATATTTGCCTACCACTTTCTGCTTACTTATTTACCGATGTATACTAGATACCTTGAGTCCTAGTAACGGGACATCGTCATTTAAAAGGTCTTCCGGAACATTCCAAAATTGGAGGATGCGGCCATTGCGGCAGCGGCAAGGTCGCTCAAGACTATTAGTATTAATCACTCTTGTCATTTATTAAATCTATTATCATTTAACTTTGGGACGAAGCCTAACAATTAAGGGCAGACGACTAAAATTCGCAGTCAACTTTAGTTTGATGTTAAACAAATCTGTCTAGCCAAATACGTAGGTTGAAATATTTATTCATAACTAGAATAATATTTTCATTTCATACGAGTCCTTATTTCATTAGACTGCTAAAAATAATATAATCGTCTAGATATAGAATATATATATAGATCCTTTTTATTATTTTGCTGCATTATAACCAAAGCAAATATTATTGTATAGGTACAAAGTTGGCCTAAAATTCAGTTATGTGTTTATTCGCGTTTCTGAATTGTAGTTTAACATGAATTAACATTACTGGATTTCAAACAACCTAGTTAAAGTTAATTTCAGAGAATATAGCGCAAACAGCGAATTTTTAAACCAAAGTTAAAATATGGAACTGCACACGTTGCCATTGCCAGCGTGGCGTTGATAAAAACACCAAACAAACAAACCTTAAAGTCGGTACAGTATTATACTACTAAAACCATACAGCCTCACTCACTATAATTAATATAAATACTTACAGGCAAGTGCCTGTAAATATGTAAATTAATTACACTCAAGTGTGGGAGAGCCATGCTTCGGCACGAAAGGGCCGGCACGACCGGAGTGATACCACGGCCTCACAGAAAACCGACGTGAAACAACGCTTGCGTTGTGTTTCGTCGTGTGAGTGAGGTTACCGGAGGCCCAATTACCTAGTCCAATCCCTAGTCCCCGTCTCTCGAATCCCCGAATCCTCCACAATCCTCAAATTCCTAATTCCCAAAAGGCCGGTAACGCACTTGTAACGCCTTGGTGTATCGAGTGTCCATGGGCGGCGCCGATTGCTTACCATCAGGTGATCCGCCTGCTCGTTTACCGGTTTACACTATAAAAAAAAAGAAATCGAATTTATATATACGTATATTCCATCAGTCTAATTATCAGTGAAGGTAAATCCTTAACTCCTCGTTTCGCGTTGTGTAAAAAGTACTAGAAATAAACGAGTATCCTTTAATATAATTTCACCTATTATGGAGGGTCATTATTCTGTACATCGTCTCGAGATTAACCAACACATCAATCAAGCAGAAAACCGTGTCACCTGCGTTTGTTTTGCGAATCATCACGCCGCGCCGGGAAATGGCCGACTTGTACTATCACAGTTCAGACGCCACCTAGTTACGTAGTCTTTGGTGATAAAATAATTACTACTGCGGTTTAAAATGCACGTAATTATGATACCTCTGAAATTGTGTTATGATTTCTTTTGGACTGCAAGGTGGATAACTTGGAGAACGGAGACCGGTGGCAGTGCGAATTGGGAGTCAACTCCCGCTTCAAAAAAAATCAAAAATCAAAAAATGTTTATTTCGTTATTACACGTTAATACAAAGTTACACAGTTGGTGGCGTCTCCTTTTAAGCATATAAATGCCTGTACCAGGAGGCGCCGCTCTTTTATATCATACAAGTGTAATACGTTTATGGGGGTTAATTAAAATTACCATGGCGGTAATATGTAACACTCGTCTGTACTGCACGTCCTGCCTGACAGCCATTATAAGATATTTCAAAAAGTAAGATATTTTAGCATCGTGTCAGAGTTCGAAAATTAGTGATTTCTCACGTTCGTGCCTCGGAAACTCTGAGAACACGCATAGATGCAGTGAAGTCGTTTCTCGTAAAAAGAAAACAATAAAGCATCACCTTTAACACTGATGGACTATAAGCGTCTTAGTCATATGAGTGTAAAGTTCTAATCGTTCTTTGTAAAATATTGACAAAAAAGGTTAATCAATTTAAAGCACTACCTAATAATCCGGATCAGTCTGGTCTTTGCACTGGCTCCGACTATTGCCCCCAGCCCACCTCATTATGACTATTGTTATCTCTTTTCGCAAATTCAACACTACGGCAAATTTCCGATTGCTTTCAACGTTTCACGTGTTTGTTTTTCATATTTACAATGTAGTGATTCTAATACTCGTTCAAATAAGGCTGAGATAAAAATATTAATTAATTGTTTACTCAAGTAGGTAATTGTGTAACTGTATACAATTTTGGCGTGATAACGACCTGTGCCTAATTAGTTTTTTTTATATGCTGTTCATTAACTAATCCTGGTTTTCCTGACACAAGGACCACGTTCATAAAGTTTGGTCTGAAGAAAATTGGTCCTTTGGCCTTTGACTGTGGTTAAGAAACCTTGTCTGCGAATCAGTCATAATCGCGTTCTGTCATGATTGAAATTGATAGTAGGAGTCCTAGAATCTTGTATGGAAGCCCGGATTATGTCATCCACGTCTTGGTAGATGATCCTTACCTTGTTCTCTGCTTTAGATAAAACTTCGCCCGATTGATGCTTCCCGAAAAGGCCCATTTTTATTAATTAATTGTTTAACCTTGTAGAGCTGTTGGTCAGATATGTTTTATCTTTAATTCAAATTGAGCAATCTACCAAATAATGTGTTCATCTTTTTTTCAGATTGCCGCCAAATTCACAAGTCGAAACGCTAAAGTTTACCAACAACGCCATAAAAGCGTACTGGCCAGATCCGTTCAGTGACGTTCCAAATTTGAAAATACTGTCATTCTCGCACAACGAACTGACGGAGATCACGCCGGACCTATTCACGAACATAGAAGGATTGGAAGATCTTGATCTGTCGCATAATAAACTATCAGAATTTAATACTTTAGATTTCAAACATTTACGACATGTGAAGAAATTAAGTTTGTCGAGCAATAATTTGAAGAAGATTCCCTTGGATGCACTGCAGCCTATGACGTCACTTGAAGAGCTGGATGTCAGTAAGAATGGAATCTTTGACTTGTTGCTGCAAAGAAATGATGTTGAAAATCTAGCTCGGTTAAAGAGATTGAATCTTAATGACAATAGAATTAGATCCATAACGAAGGATTCCTTCCCCGCCAATAACAGCCTGTAAGTATACCGCAAACCTTTTCAAACGCCTTTAAAATAATTTCAGCCCTATTTTTTTTACGGTGAGAGTCAATTTTAGACCTGTATGTAACTGTACCTGCATTTACCGTCACTGTCAAAATTTTCGTTATACTCTGGGACTGTTAGAACTGTTATTTCGTCGCCATAAGGCCGATTTTCGAACTTAAATATGAGTTCTAGAGAACAGCCGCTTATAGTTTTTGTTGGCGTCTGAACTTTATGAAGACTAATGGTTTTTGTTTTATCTCAACTAGCACTTGTAGGCATCAGTATAATACTTATTGTAGGCCCCTACAGATGGAGTTAGTAACAGAATGTTCACCGACTGAGAGATAATATGTTTCACCAACCTGACGACATTGGGTTTGTTATTAAGGTTTCTCAAAAGTAGATATAAATAACTGACCAGCTTTAAAACATCAATAAACGGATTTCTTTTCTATATTTTTCATATGAGAAGAGACTCCATAGACTGGCAAGGGCAATCTTTTTATTCTATCTTTTTACCCGACTGTAGGGTGAAGGGTATTGGTTTTCGCGCGTCTCTTGTACCTTTCTTTATATAACTTATAAGTGTAATATTTTGATGTTTTTTACTGCATTATTTAGTGCATGTCCGTAATTAGTGTACGTGGCTATGTGTTAAATACCCGCGTTGTTCTCAGTATTAACTTACAATCTCAACTTATACCCGATAAGTGCGTTATACCTCAAAAAAGCTACGTGCTCTATCCATTTAAGATAAATACGCACATCAAAATCAATACCGAAATATTTTTTTTATAATAACTATCGTAAGACATACTAAATTAACTAAAAATCGCGGGTTACTCACGTATACAAGTACCTACTGAGAAAAAAAGTAGTCTGCGCGACAGCAACGCCGCGACCGCGCATGCTACTCATGAGGAAGGACCCTTCTGTGGTTTGAAACTAGTAGAGGTTTTCCCAGTATTCTCACGTCAGTAACCCGCGACTTTTAGTAAGCCTAAATATTTATTTATTACCATACATTTATCACCAAACATTAGTATCTATCTCCTCAGTCTAGACAAGTAGACCATATTTTAAACAAATATAAGTCTTTATAGTTTTGTAGAGCTACCGCTGACTTATTTATCGATGTTACGATAAGGTAACAATCTAAATAAACATAGGTAGGTGCTAACAAGTACCATTTTAATTATACACGTAGCTTATCTATTAGATTTACTCATATAGGTTGACCTGTTTGATAATAAACATGGCAACGGAATACTATGGCGAAATATTGCAAAAAATATTATTCTTAAGACATTATAATAATTATAGGATCACGCGTTTTAACTCGTCGAGTACCGTCATTATACCTCTAGACACAATTATAGAACAATAGGTTGCGGTCACCGGTGACCGCTTGGTGTTTGACAGTTTAATCCCCGAAAATGCTGATGTCTACATATAAAATGTAACACCCACTATTCACCAGCAAGGTTTGAAGTCCCTTGAAATAGGGATGAGCCACCTACCACCGGTTATAATTACAGATTCTGTCCTATTTCTAAGACCAGTTCTATAAACCAAAAAACCCCAATTATTTGAATCGAACTCGACCAATAAGGTATTCGTATTTTAAGTATTCATATAAGTTTATTTTAATGGGATAAGTCGATATACGAGCAGACAGATCACCTAATGCTAAGCAATCGGTGTCGCCCATGGACACCTGGAACACGAGAGGTGTTACAGGTGCGTTACCGGTGTTTTGGAGTTTAGGAATTTGAGGATTGTTGGGTATTCAGAGATTGGGAAATTAGGGAAGGGGGGGATAATTGATAGTGACATCTTCTTCATAATTATTTTTATATTTCAACAAACCCAATTTTGTTCTTTCCAGAGAGCTATTGGATTTATCAAACAACATCATAGAAATAGTGGAAGAAGAATCCTTCCTTACCTGCACGAATTTAAGAGAATTGAACCTTGCGCAGAACAATATAACGCTGCTTTTCGCTTTGCCGCCGACGTTGCAGATTGCTATACTGAAAGTGAATACTTTATTCCATTGGCCTAAGTTCCCTAATGGTATAAAGTACATAGACCTCTCATATAATAGGCTATCAGAGTTATATGATGAGAATTCGGTCAATTTTGACAGTCTGGAGGTAATTTTTCTATATTATTTTCATAACTTTACTAACTCTTCCAAATCAACAATGATGACTGCACAGTTGGCGTGGTGACTGGGCAAGTGGCTGCCACTCAACGTGTAGCGGGTTCGATTCCCGCATGGACTAAGTCTTTATGTGATTGTGATCCACAAATTGTTGTTTCGGGTCTGGATGACATTGTGTATATGAACTTGTACGTTTGTAAATGCACTCGCGACACAAGTGAAAACTCTAGAGCGTGGCAACGTTCTTTAAAAAAAATGAAATGATTAACCTAAAACTTTTCGACTTACAGGTTTTAAACATCGGAGGAAACCAAATAAAAGAACTGACAATAGAAAAGAAACTACCAAGCTTATACATCCTAGACTTATCTTACAACCTCATTACAGAAATACCAAAGACAATAAGCACACAACTTTTCCCCAATTTAGAGGAGCTTCATTTAGATGGAAACCCCATAGAGGCGGTTTATTTTAAAAATATAATTGCAGTAAAGAGTTTGTATATGAATGAGATGAAGGCTCTGAGTGTTGTCGATGAGAAAGCGTTCAGTAACGTGGTTGGTCGAGCCACAGATGAGACGGAGAATGAATTGAACTGTTTCTCTCTCTATCTCTCTAGTTGTTCCTCATTGGTTGAAATTAAGGCGGGAGCTTTTGATGGGACGTCGTTGTGTATGGTGAGTTTTCATAATAATTTTATAGTTGGACTGCCTAGTTGGCCGAGTCCGGGCAAAGTATTACTGGGTTCTTTAAAAATTCTCAGTAGTAGCACGGAGTCTGGAATTGTGCCCGGTATATGGCAAAAGGCTCTCCCCCTATTACATGATACTCATAAGATAAATAGTGAAAAGTGGGTGTTAAATTATACAGTGGCATAATGTGCACCTCTGCCTACCCCTTCGGGGATAAAAGGCGTGATGTTATGTTATGTATAGTTGGTTTTTATAAAGTCTACTATTTGCCCACAGTTAACATGGCGCTTAAGTGACTAACCTACATGACCCTTTTGAAAATTTTAAATAAGAGATGTCGTAAACATCTATAGTTCTTGGCACAGAAATCAGCTACAAGTTTCAACAGTCATCTCAATGATTAAACCAATAAGGACATTATTCCATAGGTTTAAACGTCTTATCATCCTTTTACCTTTTACGACCTATCTCAAACCTTTGTTTAAAAAAACTTTTCCAATACTACCTACATCACAATTTAAAAAAAAAAATGACCAAAACCTACTCAAATTACAGCTGGACATAAGCAAGAACAACTTAACGTATCTACCAAAGACTCTAGTGGAATGGTCGTCAGTGAGCGAGGGTGTGAACCTGCAACATAATCCATGGGACTGTACCTGCGACATGCAGTGGGTGGTGGACGACCTACTGCCGCAGATGTATGCTATGAACCAGTCGCATCTGTTGGCTGAACTTAGGTGAGCAGTGGGGAATAAAGAAATAGCAAAAATAATTAATACAAAAAAAAAATATTTTTATGGCATAACACGGTAAACAAGCAGACGGGTCACCTGATGGTAAGCAATCGGCGTCGCCCATGGACACCTGGAACACCAGAGGCGTTACAAATGCATTACCGGCCTTTTGGGGATTAGGAGTTTGAGGATCGTTGGGGATTTAGGAATTGGGGAGATTGGGGAAGGGGAGGGTAATTGGGCCTCCGGTAACCTCACTTACACGACGAAACAACGCAAGCGTTGCTTCACGTCGGTTTTCTGTGAGGCCGTGGTATCACTCCGGTCGAGCCGGCCCATTCGTGCCGAAGCATGGCTCTCCCACACTTAAATGGGATTGTGGTCACAAACTACAACTACCGAGAAAGACTTAAATTCCTTAATAGAGCAAAGTAGTATTGAGTTGTTGAATTATGAATTTTGAATACATCAATACAAAAAAATATATATTTATCTTCCAGGTGTGGCAGTCCTCGTGCCTTCGAAGGTCTCCGGCTGGTGCACTGGTACAACTGGACGGAGCGCGCCATGTGCAGTGAGCAGTATTCAAGGAGCGGGATGCATGGGAACTACATGGTAAGTAATATAAGAACCTGTCTAAGGAGGGCTTCGGTGGAATATGGACCATAAAAGGACGCCATAAGAATTATTTTACCATGCCCTTTGTTTTATTTTTTTAAATAAGACGTTGAAAGAGGTCTCTGAAAGAGATTAGCTTTTGTTGTTTCAGTAATGTACGTACATACGCTAGAATCAGCACATCTGACATTTCATCACCTTTTCCTAAAACATACGTGCCGATAATAATATGGGTAAACGCAAACTCACATCTTTTTCTCCGAAATTAATATTAATTAATGTCAACATAACATCACACTCTTCAAATTCAAAAAAATTCAAAATTCTTTATTATTATCTTAAGAATTACACTATCGGTCTAACATTGAGGCAGTCCCAGTAAGTTATTATACAATACTTGTGTTGGGACTGACTCGATCCTTTCTTTATTTATTTAACACTCTTAAGAATAATAACCTCGAGATCTGCTAATTAAAGGAAAACAACAAAAATTAAAGTAGATATAGTAAAATAAGAAATAAAAAAGTTACAAATATAAAAAAAAACTATGGTAGAACGGTATGTTAAAAGCAATTGATTTGTATTTTTTTTTTTGTGAGAGTAGATGTATGAATCGATGTGCGTGTGTGTGTGTGTGAGAAAGAGAGTGAGTGAGTGAGTGAGTGAGTGAGTGAGTGAGTTTATGTATGTATGTATGAATGTATGTATGTATATGTATGTATGTGTGTATGTATCTGTTTGTATGGTGTTTGTATGTTTGTTATTGAATTCTAGTCAAAATGTTCTCAGTGTCTTCGTACGACAAAGTTTTTAACCATACTCTTATTCCATGTACAAGGCAGCACTGTGCACCTGTCATTTGTTCCTACCCCCTTTGGGTAGTAGTTACCTAGAAACTACCCCATTGCCAGACACTGATTATTATCCTTCCGGGGAAATGGTATAGGTATTAGGTATAGCCACTTCCGCGTGGTTTCACTAACTCAGCTCGGTGCCTATTGATCGTAGCGCGATGTTTTATAGCCTCTAGCCTTCCTCAATGAATGGACTATCCAACATAAAAAAGATTTTTTTCAAATTGGATGTATTCAAACAAACAAACTGTTCAGGTTTATACAATAGTATGAGATATAAGATAACAACACGCTCTTTGCTTATTCCCCCTAAAAGGTAGCACTTTGCGCCTGTCACGTGTCGCCCCACGTAATAGGGAGCTAGCCGATATAGCCCAACAATAACTATTATCCTACCTGAGAAATAGTATGCCTATTAGGTATAAGCATTTAAATTAATTTTAATAAAATTTCTCTTATTCCAGTTGGAACCATCAACGGAAAACAGTCTACAGAAATTCAGCTCCCTAACTATAATCTTAGGAGCATGTATCATAGTAACGTTACTGATAGCTATAGCGCTGGCAGTGTATTTGGTGAAGACGCGCAAACAATATCGCGTGCGTCGCGCCGCCATGCGCAGGAAGCGACAGAGCGCCGCCGACATCAGCAACGGACATAAAGAACAGTTCACTAACTTGAATACTAGTAAAGTATAATTTGTGTAGTCGTTTTTTTAGGTATTTTTAGAGCGGTTATGAAAAATTGTCGGATGAATAATGGAATGGATGATATGTTTTTTAACGTAAATCATGCGATAGATATATCGTCGGGGATAGTGCAAATCCACGGAACTAGGGAACTAACTAACTAACATTGGTAATTCAGCGTAATTGACAAATGTAGCTTATTCAAGTTTTCGCGGGAAAATTCCGCAAAAACTTATTTTTGGTATGTAAAAATGAGCTTCAAATTCATTGAATTAACATGGAATAAATTTAATAAGATTTAACCATCCCCTGTAAAACTGAATCTTTTTTTTATGGGATAAGCCGGGAAACGAGCAGACGGATCGCGCCGCCCATGGACACCTGGAACTTCAGGGGCGTTACAAGGGCGTTACCGGCCGTTTGGGGATTAGAAATTTAGGGATTGTTGGGGGGTAAAGGAGCCTCCGGTAGCCTCACTCACACGATGAACCACAACGTTGTTTGACATCGGTTTTCTGTGAGGTCGTGGTATCACTCCGGTCGAGCCGGCCCATTCGTGGATCTATTGTAAATACGTGGTGTTAACGTACGGCAGTTTTAAGTATTTGCACTATCCCCGACAATATGAGTTTATGGGTTTATACACAGTGACGTAACTACAGGGTGACAAAGCGGCAAGATGCCACTTTCCCCCAGCTGGAAGAGGCCCCCAATAAAAAGATTTTATTTTATATAATTCCTCTCTTTTTTATTGGTCCTCCCATCCGATGAATTTGCCACGGGCCTCGAACGGTATAATTACGCCACTGTTTATACATTTCCTTTTCTATGATCATAGCTATCAGTAAATTAAAACTATAATGTAGTCATTTCATACAAATAATGTTGATATAAGAGGCTGCTGAGATTATTTTGTTATTTCTTAATACTTTAGTAACACTAAAATAGTAATATACAGCTACCGCCACGCCAATGCAAATATTAACAGCAATTTTCTGTATTATCCAATCGTATGAAAGAGGTAATGCGTAGACCACGGTTCTATAATTTAAGGCAACCAAGTCATTTCAAATAGGTATAAGATTTAAGTACAAACACCAAATGTTTAAACCAAATCTAATATTTTATTAATTTCAAATAAGTAGTCGGTACATGATTTCCTAATGCCTTCAATACTTTTTGCTAAATAATCTAATCTAAATTGTGCCCAGTGTATAGCATCACCGCCTATTACACGGGACTTGAATATTGATCCGTATGCTATATATGGTCGACTATTAGGCTGCATCAGTGGTACCATTCTTTTTAATATCGACCAATTTTTGTACATAAGTATTATTAGAATATTATGATCTATTTGAATACGAATAAAGTTGATTTTCAAACTATTTGTGTTACCACTGATGAGCTGTTTTTGTAAGATAATTCTTGATGCTAAATAATTGCTGTGCAATGCTATGTTCTGAGGCTTAGAGAATGTTTGATATTTGAAATAATTTGTTTTATTCTGTAAATAGTAAAATTCTATTATTATTTTTAATAAATATTATTCGCATTTTTGAAAGAAAAAGCTTAGTAACTTTTTAATGATAATTTTAATATTTAATTGAGTGAATTTCTCTGTACAAATGTTGTTTCATATATCGATTTTTTTATTTGATAAAGACAAAATATGTATTAGGCAGTATTATCGACCTATCAAGTATAAAAAAGGTAAGAAAATAAACATTAAATTGGTACAAGGACACACTATACTGGTTGGTTACTGTCTCTGTACTGAATCAAACTTATTTTTCTTACCTACATTTCAATTAATTTGGTAACTTTACGATGAAAAACAAAACATGAAATCAAACAGAATAAAAAAGATATATTTGTAAAATATTAGTCTTAATAAGTTGTATATATAATGAAATTGTTTTAATAAAATATTTATATGAATTGTGATGTTTTCATCTTCTCAGCGGGTTGATGATGTTGCGTATAGTTCCCGGGCCGTTCCATTTGCCTTTGACTAGTGAGTTCCAGTAAATGTATGGAAGTACGTACTTGTTTATTTGATATATTATACGACGTTCTTTTGCCTGAAACAAAATACAATTTTGTTCTCTAGAACACAACGTTTGAATATTTTTTTTATTTTAATACCTACTTATGATAGTAGTCCCAGTGTGGGAAAGCAATGCTAAGTGCGGGAGAGCCATGCTTCGGCACGAATGGGCCGGCTCGAACAGAAAATCGACGTGAAACAACGCTGAGTGAGGTTACCGGAGGCCCAAGTCTCCCCAAATCCCGAATCCCCACAACTCTCAAATTCTCAAAAGGCCGGTAACCGCACTTGTAACGCCTCTGGTGTTTTAGGTGTCATGGGCGGTGCCAGTTGCATACCATCAGGTGATCCGTCTGATCGATTACCGGCTTATCCCATAATAAAAAAAAACACAAAATCCTATTCAGCCGTTTAAGTGATTACAAGTGCGACTAGCGACTATCGAGCAAGATGTCTCAGCTTGAGTCATGTGTTAGGCTGAGTATCTATTATTGGAAATTACTCCTAAACTTTAAGTCTGAAATCGAGTTAAAATTGAGCTACATGACTGTAGCTATATCTCTTTTAAGCAAATATAATAATACTATGGGTAAAAAGAAATTAATAAATTGCGAAACGTCGTTTTGAAATGACACCAAAGGCTTTGACGTTACCTGATCAAAAGGAAACGTCTCCCATATTTTCTTATCATACACGAACTCTGCGAGCAGTCCTTTCTTGTATGATGTGATGAGAGGACAGGCGGCGTACCCGTTGTACCTGGCGGAGGGAGCTTTGCCGGACATCACGTCGCGAAGGTTACGCTCCACTACGTAGCTTTGTGGAGCTGGTCAAGTGGTGAATAAATAAGCAATAATAAGTAATGTTTATTATATTTAGTACTTTATTGTTTTGACATAAAGCATAAATTCTAATGAAAACTAGTCATTTCTCAATTTAAATTTAAGTGTTTCATTTTTCGTCACTGGTTCGTTTTTCTTTTTATTAGCATTAACCTTTTGACCGCTATGGTCGGGTATATTTCGTACCTATATCAAAGACCTATATACCCGTTAGCCGATAGTGGTGTATACTGTATAGTAAGTACCTAATGTGTTCCAAACACTCTAATTGAGAAATCACCCTTAAATTTTTCCAGCGGCCTTCCAAACACCGTAGTATTGTGGTTTTTAATCTTTTACTCACCAACAGCAGCAGCAGTTTTGCTATTAGGCGTACACGTGCAGTCTCCCAACCCAAACACATTGGGATACCGCCTGTGTTGCAACGTATCTGCATCCACATCCAGGAACCCTGCAGCATTGCTCAGCTCCCCACACTTCTGCAGACAGTACTGCGGAGCCATCGGGGGAGTCACGTGCAACAAGTTGTATGGGAAGCTTATTGTCTGGAACAGAAGGTCGAAATTTCAATATCTTTAATCTATAAGTAGATTGTAATGTGTGATTTTGATTAGTCCATCTCCCCGGTCGTTCTCTCGTGACAGAGGATCGTGATCATCCTGGGATCACTCTGGATCGGACGAATTGTCTCCATTGGCTCTTGTCTGTGGTCATTTTCATTAGATGAAGAACCTTGATGCTGGGTTGTCCTTGTGCTGATCAGACCACCTAGTTGGGGATCGTCCTCGTGCCCTTCTCCCTTCAACATCTCCCACGACAATGAGCATCTCCAAGCTATTCTCTCCGCGTCTCGCTATATGTCCTAAATAGCTCATGATCGGCGAAGGTATGTACAAAGTGGATAGGCGGTCTGCGACTTCAAGTTGCGAAATTATTGAGACAGTAGTTGACCCAGAGGCGGATTAAACCTAGAAAGCACCCTAGGCAAGCACCTTGCCGATACGGAGCCGCGGAAGACTTAACGGGTAACCGGGGCTCCGGCTCGACGTGCAGGAGAAGGAACGGGGTGGTTTTTAGTCAGTAAGAGGCTGGCACTCCCTCCCTCACTGAGAAGCCATTCGATGATTTTCCCCCCTTAATAAAAAAGGCAAGCACCTTGTTCCCTAATTTCTTTTGACGCCGTCGGCACTCTATGGGCAGTTGGGCATGCGCGTCTCGCAGCGCCCCTCTATAACCTAGCGTACTAGGCACTTGTCTAGTTTTCCTTAGGGATAACAGGGCTCTGGGTTGACCTGCTGGCTACTGTACCTATCTATTTAAGTACTTACAATATCATTAAAGTTACTCATTAACATCCTGAATAATTTTCGGTACATACTTTTTAATAGCAGTCGTTAAACTTTATGACTATTTTATTGGGTATTGTTTTGTCGCTACAAATCGGAAGCTTCAAGGGCTATAGGGTCTTTCAACTTTGTCATTGTAATATGAGCTGTACCGTATCATACCAACGTCTAACATAACTAATTAACCTTCGACCTATATTTTACGACCAGTTGTGCAGAGTCCGTAAAGCCATCCACCAAGCCACGAATTAAATATTATCGAACGCTTTGCTTCTATGAAAAAACTATACTCTTTATTACCTCTCCGCCAGCTCCCATGAACAGGGCTCCCCTAGGCGACACCTCCACTAGGTCAGCTCCATAGTTAGGTACGATGCCACGACTGACAGCCAGCGTTCTGATGGCATCCGCATACTTCGGTACGCCAAATATCTCCTCCGCACCCGTGTTGTACGTTATATTCGTCTTGCCTATAATTTTTTTCTGGAAGATGTAATGAAGATATAAAATAAGTAGATACTTATCTGTTAAGTTATTTTCTCCTCCCTATATTTGACAAGGCCCATTGGAATTGAAATTTTCTTGGGAATGCTTCATACTTATTTTGATTGTCTCTCAAGTCAATAGGTGCCCATAATAAAACATTATGTTAGGTATTGTTTCATCAGCCATTATTTACCTATTGCTAGAATCTTTCCTTCCTTAGTTCCTTCCTGTCTAGTGCTAGTGGTACCTACTTATTATAGTGACACACCCCAATACAACATTATTAAATCCTTGAAACAGTACCTACTAATATAGTAGGAAATATTCCTATAAACTACAGCATTCTGGGGAAACCGCAATTACAGAGAGAGTAACAGTTAATATTTACTGGGAAGCCTGTCATAAACAACTACCTACATGATGTGAGACTGCTATTAGATCATCTTTATTTTCGCTACGAGGAACACTGCCTCGTGACTCCAGTTCTGTCATACACTTATTCATATGACCTATGAACATCCCTATACCTTCTTTCCTCAATTAATTAATAACCTTGCAACTTTTCATAATAAATCGCATTTTATACCAAGGTCTGATATCTAACTTACTTTGTCAGGTCTATCCTGAAAACAAGAGCAACTTGTTAGGATTGTTTTAAATTAGTGTACCGTATCAACCGTATGTACTGAGGTAGATACACCTCCTGGTACGTTATCTTCAAGTTATAAAGGCGTAAATATCGAATCTAACCTTTCTCCAATAATCTTGCGCTAAAAACATAATTTTCATAGCAGCACCGGAACATTTACCGCCTACAACGGGAAACGTAAACAGCGCATGTCCACCTTTGAAGTTCTTTATATTCTCCCAGGTCTTGCTGCAGTACATTGGAGAGTAAATCGTGGAGACAGGACACCGAGGGTTATCCAGAGCTTGTACCAGGCCTAGCACCTGAAGGAACCAGTTTCATCATTTAATTAAAGTGAAAAGTATTTCTGCCCTACTTATCGAATGAGAGGAGTATTTTGTTCGTCTGATCAATATGTTGCAGGATCCAAGAAAATTAGTCACGTTCTTGGACGGACTACTTAGGACGTAATTGGGTTTCTTTGCCCAGGAGCCAGTCACTCATATGATGAGAAAGGTTTAAAAGTTCAACTAGGTCCTCGACCACAGGCCTTAGTGTGAATTTGTTTTACAACAACGTTTACAACACTTATACACAAATACAAGTGCGTTTTTGCGTTGAATCACCAATCAACGCACCAAAGGCATGTTTGCGATAAGTATCCCGATGAGGTTTTTTAAATCTTACCTTGTCATAATCATTCCTGATGCCCACAGCGACCACCATGTACTCATAGTATATTTTGTCGCCGTTCCACGTGACCACCATGTTCTCACTGGGACAGAAGCCCTCAGCTCTGTCGTGTAACCACGTGATGCTGTGCGGTAGAATGTTAGGGAGTGGCCTGTACGACTCTTTCAGTTTCCTTATGCCAGCCCCTACCAGTGTAAAGGCTGGTTGATAGTAGTGTATCTGGAGAAATATCACTAAGCTTTATAAGTGTTATATCATTTTGGCCATGGTTAGGCTCTGACAACTACCATACATTACCATCAAACTACGTTCGGAGTTGGAATAGAATAGAATAAACTTTATTGTACACTATTAATAATACACATACTTAATACATACAAAAAAGGAAATGATAAACATAAATAAAAAATAATATTGAGCACAAAGGCGGTCTTATAACTTATAGTGATTTGTACCAGACGACCTTGGGTGGAGTTAGTTCGCAGAAGCAACTAAAATCTCCAGGGATCCATAAAATAAAATTCATGAAACTTGGCTTAGCGATTGGTGTGAAAAATAACACTTACTTCCTCACTCAACTAATTTAAAAAGCATTTACTAAGTTTTAAAAAAAATCGCGTTGTGTATTACCCTACAAGGTTCCAGCATAATTAAGCAGTTCTTCAATTTGCGGGCAAAGCGCCACGCGACGCTGCAGCCGCCGGCGCCACCTCCGACGACCAGCAACTTGCATCTATTGATCATGTCATGATATGAAATCAAATCAGTTCAGTCAATCCCTATGGGAAGTTAAAATAAGTTTATTACATATGTCTCCTTTCTCCTATCTATTGTTATTTGTGTCTCTAGTTCAGTCCCAAGCTCAACATGATACAATGAAATTGCCAGCTATACTCTAGTTAGGTTTGGAATTTTTATAAATGGGCCACTTCAGCCAAGGTCGCTCTAATCCTGTCCATCAATTAGAAAGTGTGTATATATATCTGTTGTCTATCAATTAGAAAATATGTGTCGGGGCTGTATGTCTAGGGGGTTTGGTTTTATAAATTTTGATTATTTTTTGCTGGTTTATTTTGGTTGTATATTATACACAAAATAAGATAAAACTTTAATTCTATTAATTACTCTCTTGATATGGTGCTCAGATGGTGCAAGCACACACTCTTGCACCCTGCTACCGGTACTCATGTTCACCCATCACTCATAACAATTAATTATTTCTGCTACATAATATAGGAAGTTCCCTAATACTTACTCGTATGTTTTCTTTGTAGGACAATACCACCGGACCGCATGTTTTGTGTAAGGAGCGAGTCTTTTGAAGACTGCGCTCATATTATAATTTATTTTTATCTTTTATCAGAAATTATTCATGCCGTCATTTTTACTTCATAATTTTGAGTAAGCAACCAAAGACGTTATAATATAAAACGTTTTTATTATAATGTCTTTGTAAGCAACCAACTCGATTATATGGTGTAGAGAGGTTAAGTAATATTTGTTATAACATTATGTGTCTATAGTACAACAGTCAGAGGCTGCATCTACGGGGTGTATCATGAAAGAAATCAATAAAACGTTCACATTTTTTTCAACTTAATCTTTTCCTTTGATGAGAGATTAGGTACAGTACAATCATCGGACATGTTTCAAAAACTAGAATCCTAAAATAACGATATTTTCTAACACCCCTAGACATTTTCTGATTGATGGACGGGATCGGTCAAAGAGTATATTAAGTATAGGGGGGATCGGTGTAACCTAGGCTAAAGTGGGCCTACTTTTAAAAACTCCGAACATAATTGTCAAACTAGGGACAAAAGAGGTATGGACCAGACAGAGGTGCCACTGGAAGCGAGGGCCGCTTGTTGTCCGATTATGTTATGTATTTTAGAGAAAAAATGCGAATCTCTACTAGAAAATATTTTTGTTATAATGAAAGGAATATTATTTTGGTATTTGGTTTCTTTTGGATTTCCTATTAGCCTATGAACAACGTTTTCAGATTTTTAGTAGGCGCCCCAGGTGCCTTTGTTACGCTCTAAAAAGACGAACCCCATTTCAACTGCAAATTGCAATTCGGATGCAGTTTGAACACAGTTGACACAACTACATGAGAACTGCAATCGGACTGCTCGTTTGGTTTGCAACCGTTTGGTTATGACTACGACAGAACTGCAATCGGACTGCACGTTTGGTTTGCAACCGTTTGGTCATGACTACGACAGAACTGCAATCGGACTGCTCGTTTGGTTTGCAACCGTTTGGTCATGACTACGACAGAACTGCAATCGGACTGCTCGTTTGGTTTGCAACCGTTTGGTCATGACTACGACAGAACTGCAATCGGACTGCACGTTTTGGTTTGCAACCGTTTAGTCATGACTACGACAGAACTGCAATCGGACTGCTCGTTTGGTTTGCAACCGTTTGGTCATGACAACGACAGAACTGCAATCGGACTGCTCGTTTGGTTTGCAACCGTTTGGTCATGACTACGACAGAACTGCAATTGGTCTGCACGTTTGGTTTGCAACCGTTTGGTCATGACTACGACAGAACTGCAATCGGACTGCACGTTTGGTTTGCAACCGTTTGGTCATGACAACGACAGAACTGCAATCGGACTGCACGTTTGGTTTGCAACCGTTTGGTCATGACAACGACAGAACTGCAATCGGACTGCACGTTTTGGTGTGCAGTCGTGTCACGACTGCATTCAAACTGCATCCGAACTATTTCTTGCGGTTGGATCGCAATTGAAATACGGTCGTCTATCTAGAGCCTTACCAACTTCAACTTTATTATATTTCCATTTCCAAATCCAAACTAATATTATAAATGCGAAAGTAACTCTGTCTGTCTGTCTGTCTGTCTGTCTGTCTTTGCTTCACGCCTAAACTACTGAACCGATTTGTGTGAAATTTGGTACAGACATAGTTTGGAACTTGAGAAAGGACATAGGGTAGTTTTTATTACAAAAAAACAATAAAAAAATATTTCGTACATACAGCGCCATCTATTGGTCAAGAGTCGGCATCAATTCAGTACTGAAAATTCAACGGGAAAATGTATATACATAGTTAAAAGGTATGAAAAAAATAATATCAATATAATAAAACATTTAGTACAAAGAAAATGCCCGAACGGAGTATAGATAAATAATCCGAATTGTCACTATGCTCGATAGATGGAAAAAATTATTAATTACAGTTTTAAACAAGATTCTACCCTCATAATTATTTGTGGAAATAGAGGTAGTTTAAATAAAAAAAAATATCGCAATTTTATAATTCACTTACAGCTCTGTATAAAATGCTCTAACGGAGCATAGATAATTCTATTATGTCGAGTTGGTGATCGCGCAATGGTGTCGATAGTTACACGAGTTCGGTTCATGTTATTGTTTTAATTCATCGGAAAAAAGTAAATAAATAGTTAAAAGGTATGAAAAAAATAATATCAATATAATAAAACTTGTACTACAAAGAAAATGCCCGAACGTATAGATAAATAATCCGAGTTGTCACAATGCTTGATAGATGGCGTTGGGATTGAAATTGATCGCGCTATGGTTTCGTTACACGCATTTGGTTGGGTATCGGCCGAGTGCTTCGGTACTGTCGTGGAATTGAGGATTGATCTCGATTGATTGATAGTTTGATTATTAGTAGATACTAAAATTGTATGTCTAAATTCATTTTAATTTTTAAATTAATTAGATCGTTCCGTTTAAATTATATAGTTTTAAGCTTGGTTATTAAGGGAATAGGTAATTTGTCAAGGGAGACAGTCTTTTTTTCTGAAATTACAAATCAAAATATTATTTTGAAAATAAGGGAATAACAACATTTTCACCTTTTTCGATCGGCTTTAATGCCCTAAGCGAGTATACATATCTTCAATTCAAACGTAGAGCTCATTATGTTGATTTTTGAAGAGTTCCCTAGAATATCTTCCACATTTAATTTTTGAAAAGATCCGGAACTATGTGAGGAAAACCAAAAATCTGCCGGAAGTCACTATTCCACGCGAACGAAGTCGCGGGCAAAAGCTAGTATTGACATAAAGTCAAAAATCGAATGAATTAGTTTGTCAGATTGGAGTAGGTATCTGTTGGCCACTACATATCTGGACAGTAAAATAAAATACAAAGAACATTGTATAACATTTATTTATAACAATATAACCAATGTATACAAAACCTCTTTATTTACACATTAACATTATTTTACATAAGGGAAATCGCAGAGTAACTGATTCGCACACACATTACATGTATTTAAACAAAAAAGGAAAATAAGAATACGAAATCACAGTATAATATATAAAACATGTTTTAACGTCAATTCCACGTGTAACAAAGATGAAATCTCATTCTAATATATATTCTATATTCTTATTCTTCCCTAAAAACATATTCTAGAAAAGTTAAGTTCATAACACATTGAAATATAAGTAGTACAGAGCCTGAAACTCTTTTTAAACATTAATAATATAGTTATTCTTTTAAATTAAAACAATTCATTAAAAAATATAAATATATTGCTATCAAAAATATGTTATCTTCCCTAATTGTTGTCGTATTGCAAACACCTCTTACAGGTTATTACGCTTTTAACTTCAGCTGTAATATGTACTAGACAATGAATGAATTTTATTCATATTCCAGTATATTTTTACCTACCAAATATGTATAACATACCCAAAAGTGGATAAGTTGTTTATATGCGCTATCCCATACACAAAAACTTTGCTTATTTTTATGAGTTAAGAGAGTAAATTATCGAATAGATCACTTGAGGGCAAAGAATCGGTGCCCATGGACACCCGCAACACCTGTGCCTTTAGCCAAACGCCACTTTAGCGCTTGTCTACCGAGAGAGTAGAAAACTAAATGTATGGGGATGACACTGACAAGTGTCAATATTTACGTCAATTCCATATAATTTAGTTTTCTATTCTACAAGTAGACAAGCGCTGAATGGTATTTGGCTACAGCTGCTGATGAGCCGCGTAACGCTCAGCATATCCGTAAACAAGGTCTAAAGTTACAAGCGCGATGTTGACGTTTGGGGAGCGTTTTGAGGGCCTCTGGTAACGTTACTTACACGGCGAAACATAACGTAAGACGTGTTTCACGCCAACGCTTTATGCACTCTAAGACTTCGCACATAGTTACCTACTGATCTCAAAGCAAATAAACTGAAGAGGTGTATAGTGAGCACTAGGTTTATAGTTTCATAAAAAATAATCTTGTGAAATAGCAGGCGACGCTTTAAGCGCCACATACTATTTATGTTACTCTTAAGTGTTATATCACTACATTATAAGGTGACAACTACTTAACGACATCATAATTACTACGAAACGCCATAAAAACTATAGAGCTAGAGATACTTGACATCTGTCACTTTGACATCTGTCACTTTGACATGTGTCAACGTGACGTTCAATCTACATTTTTTTATACATTACACGTAAGAGCCTTGTCGAGCGTGTATTTGATTTTTAAATCGATATTAGAATGTGTACATATTTATATTGATGTCATATATTATGTGACACTAAGTTCTTACAATCACTTCGAGTTCGTAATATCTAAATGTCGTTAGTACTTAAGACTTTTCGAATGGGTGCATTAGTTTCCTTATAGTCTCCGGCCCGTGATAGTATCCCCGTATCATCAAGTGCCAATAGATGGCCGGGAAAAGATATTTCTTCATGTAGAACGCAGTCACACTTTCTGTAGCCTGTTGACAAAAAAATGTTGAATCGTTTGAGATATACATATCTATATATTTAGCAGTGGATGGAAACGGGATGTTTGTAAAACTTTGTAATTTTAAAATATCAGTCATCAACAGCCTATAAATGCCTACTGCTGAGCAAAGCCTCTTCTCACACGGAGAAGGTTTGAGCATTAATCACAACGCTTGCTCAATGTGGGTTGGCAATTTGAAACTTATAATTAGAAATTATAAGTACACGTCTCCTTACGATGTTTTCCTTCACCGTTTGTCAGTGTTGTCTAAATAATGTTAGAAAGTACATATAACTCGGAAATTAGAAGGGCCATATTAAAGGCACCGTTAACCGGCGAGCATGCATGAAAATATTGATGACCGTTGATGAAGCGAAAGAGGTATGTAGGAATCGTAGTAATTGGCGTTTATAGTCTCTGCTCTATGGGAGACAGGCGTGAAGTTAGGTACCTATAAAGACATTTTCAAAATGTCAAATTGAGGGTTAATACAGATAAATAAATATTATTATCAATTATATTATGTATATGCATATTGATATAAGTCAGGAAGAAAAAACATATTGCTGAGCCATATAAATACTATGATAGCGAGCTATATACATTTTAAACAACATTGCAGCTTGTTTAAAGTATGGTTAAAACAATGATATATTTACCTGGTTAAAAGGCATTGTTTCATGCGGTACGCCGCCGTAGAGGAACTCTGCGAGTATGCAGGTGCTGTACGACGTCAGTAGAGGACACGCGCCGTAACCGTTGTACTTGAACTTAGGCTCGTCCTTCTTCATCGTGGCCAGAAGGTTGTGTTCTACCACGTACGATTGTACGGCTGTAATAAAATTGAGGGTTTTAAATATTGTAAACTAGACTTATTCTGTTACAGAACATATGTTTATTTGGCTTTTTTGGTTGTAAAAGTTGGGTAGGCAGAGGTGCACTTTTCTATTTACGTTATGAGTCCATATAATAGGGAGTGAGCGTACTGTCATAATACCGGACACAATCCCCGACTTCGTGCTACTTTTTTTAAAAACTCAATAATTCTTTGCCCGACCCGGGAATCGAACCCGAGACACGTTGCCCGGCAATCGCACTTGCGACCACCACTCGGCCAACGAGGCAGAGGAGTATTTTATAGTGATGTTAAATTACTTTTTTTTACTTTTAACAACAATCACCAAACTGCGTATCATTGAAGCTATTTGGTGATTGTTTCTACACTGTATATGGTAGGTGTTGTACCAATAAACCATCAAAATAACTGCACATTTAAAGATCCTTCTCGGTAGATGAAGCCAGCTATGGACCGTAAGTGGCTGTTTATGTGAAATTATAAAAAAAAATTCGCTCTTACCGATAGCAGCAGCAGTTTTACTATTTGGTGTACTAGTGCAGTCTCCGATACCATAGATATTGGGGTACTTAGTGCTCTGTAGCGTAAACTTGTCTACGTCCAAGTAGCCGTTCTCGTCCACCAACTTCTCATTAGTTCGCAGGAATTCCGGCGTCTGCATTGGTGGCGTTACGTGTAGCATCGAGTAGTTCATTACTATGTCCTGTTTTTAGAAATAAGTTTTAGATATTTTGAACTTTATGCCATGTTTAATAAATACCCACTACATTTAACTAATACGGTAGTTGACAACTAGTCAAATTCAATACTTTTATCGAAACGTCAAAAACGATACTGTTCTATGAATTTCGTACGTAATACCATCTTATGACGTCATCATATTATCGCGTCAAATATCACACTTATATCTAAAATATATCGGCAAATCAATGAATGAAAGTGTAACTATTTTTCGATATATAATTGGACTGAAAAATCAAAATAATTTATTCTTGACCCAATTGTGATTTGGTTACCTAGTGTTACTTGTCTAATATGACTTTTTTTTTAAGGGTGGATAATCATCGAATGGCTTCTCCCGCCCGGGTGAAGCAGGAGGGAGTGTCAGACTCTTACTGACTAAAAACCACCCCGTTCCTTCTCCTGCACGTCGAGCCGGAGCCCTGGTTATCCGTTAGGTTCTCCGCGACGTCTAATATGCCTTGGATTATAATTTTGAGTAATGATTTGAAAATTGTCATTGAAATGTAAAGCGACTTTACACTCAGTGTTTATAACTTCGCCTGCTATCTTTATTAATATGAGGACTTAAGAATCTAATTGAACATTTCAAAAAACCAAGAGTTATTAGGGACTTGCAAAAAGAACCATTTCAAAGGAATACAAACTCTAAACATCTCCAAAATAAGGTTGAAAGTAACACTTACCTCAGACTTATCTTTGTTAAAGAAAACAGCCTCTTTCTTGTCCGGTCTGACCTCTTTGAGTACAGTCTTATAGTTGACGTTGATGTTTTTCCGTTTCACTACCTTCAAAAGCTCCTTCGCGTACTTTGGAACGCCGAAGATAAAAGGCAGACACGTGTTGTAGTATATGTTCGTTTTTGACCGGACATTTGTCTGGGAAAGAAGGAAAATATTGAGTATTAATTTACCTATATTAATAAAAATGAATCACCGAAATGTATGTACGCCGGTAGGCGTCAAATGACTTCATCTAATTGGATAACAATTTCTTTAAGGGTCATCTATAAACTACGGCACTCGTAAAGGGGGAGGGAAGGGGGTCGACAAAATGTGACAAGAGGTGGGAGAACACCCTACGTTTCGTGACATCACATTTTGAAATCTATAAACCTAATTAAGTAATAAAGGTAATTAATCGCGTAATTTGTAATGTTAGTTAAACTAAAAAATATATCAAACTCTATCTTTATGAAAATATGGTTTAAATTGTTTTGTTGATGAGTTCACATCCGATATAGTGACAAACGCCGATATAATTTTGATTTCATAAAAAAACTAGTTTTGGAACTTTTAATTCAGGTAATAATTTTTCATTCATGAAATTCACGTGACGTACTTTATGGATGGCTCCTTAAAGTATACAATAAAATATTTATTATTACCTATGTACCCAATGGCGTCAGTATTTAAAGACAGCCACGAGAAACCATAAATCTAAGTTTTATTAACAATGCAGGTAACTGCAGAAGCATCCATAAATATTGACTTGAACTTTGGAAGAACGCCACGGCAATAAAATGCATGTTCAAAGTAAACAACTATTAGATTAGAGTGGAGAAACCGTCCTTAAAAGTACTGTAATACAAGCTCTAAAATAGCATGCGTTCTATTGAGCATGCTCAAAAATGTTCGAAAATCGAACGCTTGTCGATTCGCGAGCATGGCCGATTTGACAAGTGACAAGTGCTCAATTGAAGCATGCTTTCGTGCTTCAACTTAGCATATGCAACAGGTTACAGACGGACGTACTGACCTTATTATATGCCAATGCCCAAGTTACAAGAGCCAACGATATTTGTAAAAGATTGTGGCGACACATGTCTCAAATCAACGGATGACGTCACAAAAATCCTACATCGCATATGGAAAGTTTACAAGCGAATAAACATGGATGGAAAATCCCAACGAACAACTGTTGAGCAGAAAGCCCGCCAGGCACGATCACCTCGCCTGGTCGGAGGATCCTCCTTTTGCGATCTTAGGGATTTATACTCTCTGTTCCCTAAAAGATCTATAGCAACACGCACTCCAATATTATCAAACAAGCTAATGCTACTTCAGATTAACTTATCAATTAGATAAATAAAATTATTTTACTATATACTACTTCCTACCAAATTAATTCATAGGCAATTGATCGCTAGCAGAACTAGCTCTCAGTTCACTTCTTTGTACATTAATCGGGGAAAAGTACTCGCGGATTACCCGCGTGAATATACCGAGAAAAGCTCTACTAGTTTCGAGCTACAGAGGGGCTCTTCCTCATGAGCAGCGTGCACATTCGCGGCGATATCGCGCAGCCTACAGCGCGTAGGCTGAGTAACCCATGATTTTTAGTTAATTTAGTATGTCTCACGATAGTTATTATAAAAACAAGTACTGCAATGTTGATTTTCCTCATATGAAACATTCAAATTGAACATACTAAGGGCACACGGCTGGAAACGATTCAAGTAGCAGCCACACTCACTCACATTCCCAGAATTATATTTTATACATATAAGTAGATAGATATATATTGAAAGACAGGGAAACATTGATAAACTTCCTTCCAACACTGAATTGTGTGCATTGTTATATGAGGTTCTAATAATAGAATCGCAACATTACATCATCATCCAATCAGTTCAACGGATGGAACAAATTGCTTGGCACTGCAAAGTCGAATCCCGTATCGAGGGTTCCAGAACGTGTTGACAGAATCTATCCTATATTATATTGGTGATCATGAAATTCTGACGTGTTAATTTCCAAAAAAATGACCTTTTTCTACAGATTAAACTAGACTTGAACTGGAGCTGTTAAGAAACGTCTCAAACATAACTCTGGCATCTAATTGATATCTAGAGTCAAGCAAGCAACAAGGCAGTCCGGTCAAGTCCGGTGTACGATTTTTGATGGCAGTTACAAATGTGCGTTTAGATTTAATGTAATAAGAGTAATACTATAATGTTTGTCTAATACTCTTTTAGACAAACATACATACAAAATTAAGTAAAATCGCGGGTTAATCACGTGGATATACCGAGTGAGCTGCGCGACGTCGCCGCGACCGCGCACGCTGCTCATGAGGAAGAACCCCTCTGTGGTTCGAAACTAGTAGAGCTTTTCTCAGTATATTCACGTGAGTAACCCGCGTTTTTACTTAATTTAGTATGTCTCACGATAGTTATTATAAAAACA